GATTTATATTCGGCTCATGAGCCAAATAAAAATTCCGATGTGGGGCTAAAGGTTCTTGTCTATCTCAAGATAGTCATTTGGAGTGTGGTGTGATCTAGTGGTATTTAGTGAGCCACATCATTAGATGAGCTAGATCTTGTGGCTGGCAAGCCACCACGATATCAGATACATAAAACAATTCATCGGGAGTTCGTGAATTCAACGCCACTCAACACACACTTGGCCTTAAAGGATGGTTTGACGACTAAGGAGTCGCCACAGTACTAAGGACTTAAGTTCTAAATTGGCAGTGGTTCGTGGTGGGTTGATCCTGTATCCTCAGCATGCCACGTGACCAAGCACATTTGATCTAGCAGCTTGTGAAGCTTCACGATATCGAGAACTTAAGCTCTCGCACATATCATCATCAGGGATATAAAGATAATAATCAATTATTATCTGATAAAATAAATATTATCGATTATCTTTAAAATCTCGATGGTAGTTGCGAATACGACAATCTGTTTCCTCCCTCTTTTTGTGCGATCAACGTCTCCGACGATCGGCAAAGCTCGTTCCTTTCTCCCCCGACTGCACTCAAGGCCTCCGACAAGTGCTCAACTCTTTCATTCTCCCCCCACATGATGGTGACAGCATGGCCGACCCCTCTTTTGGTAGATCTCTTGACTTGACTTAGTCGTTGTATATTAAATCACGCAAATATAAAATTGATAAAACTAGAAAATACGAATTTTCAGATATTTAGAAGTATTTCTGAACAAATATATCAATTATAATTCAATAAAAGTTCTAAAAATAGTAGTAGTTTTCCAGGTCGATCACAAGGATGTAATATAATATATGGTAATTATTCAGAATTTTTCTCAATGAATACGATTTTCTATGAATTGTATACTAGGAAATGAAAAGGAAATATATTTAAAATTCACGAAAAAGGTAAATAAGGGTGCGGACGTCAGGATGACGTCAGCGCTCGGCGAACGTGAATCGGGCGGAAACAGAGTTCTGCCCAGCGATTCTTACGTAAGCGATTACAGACGATTTAATTAATCAAATTAAGATTTGTAAAAGCCAGAAGAATCGTAATAGAACAAAGTATATTTTGGTAAATTAAAATCACAAAAAGTATCACTAAATGAAGCGTAAAGTAAGTTGAAAGTAGGAAAACAGAGTTCCGGCATCGCGACGGCGATGCGTCGGTGATGCACCGGAATCCTAAGCATTCGGGAGGATCGTCGTGCAGTGTCCACGGCCTCGAAGGCTCTCCTTGGACAAAGACGACGTGGGCAATCTCTAGATCTTCTGGCAAAGTCTAGAGATTAATGAAATGGGTCGTCGAGTCGTCTCCGGCGGCTGTCACCCGGCGTAGTGGAAAAATTACAACTTTGCGGCTCTTCGGCGGCTGTCACCCAACGGAGAGGAGCTAGATGGAGGTGGGGCGCGTGTCAAGGAGCTTCATCCTCAGGTCCGCGCAGCAAGAAGAGGCTCTTCATCGCATCTAGTACACTCTCAGGAGGTGGCGACTCGTCTCTCGACGGATCGTCCTCTTCCTGACGACGGCTTGTTCGTCGATCAATCGGAGATGATTTACTCGATGGATTTGCGATCCTTTTATCGTGAATCGTTTAGCAATTTTAGTAGCAATGTTCCGCAAATCGCGTTGACGAGATTTTCGCCGATGATCCAGCGATTCTGGTTGCTTAATCCTTCACTGGCGATCTGCAGGAAAGTCACGATAATCAAATAAAAATATATGAATTTTGACTCTAGGAGGATTCGAACCCGCGCCAGTTGTCCGCCCCTTCTGAGGAAGGTGTGACGTGGGTTTAGTCCCACATCAGTTGTGCACCGATTTTTTGGACGAATATATAGTAATGTTACATTTCTAAGCAATAAAGTTCCTTCTCTCGCGTGTACGACCACTCCTTGCCCCACAGCCGGCTGGCCACCGGTGACGTGGAAGGGGAGTGGTGCACACGTGCCCCTATCAGTCCAAGCCGCTCGAGCCCCTGCTCGCGGCTACTCCTCGACTGAGCTTCCGACCCGCTTGCGGGCTCGGCTGGCCGGCGGGTCCCCTCCATTTTGCAATATTTTAGTTTTATTTCTTTTTCTTCATTTATCTCAAAAGTAAGATTGTAAAAATCATATAAATTCATATAAAATCACATAATTATCCAAAAAATCACATTAATCAACTGAAAACCACTTTTCACACTTTAGCACAAATATAAGTCTATTTATCATGAGTTAAGGCTAAAAATATATTATTTACTAATTATTAACTCATGATAATGAAGACTTATCATCTCTTTAATAAACAACGCAGCACTTCCAGATGATACTTCTGTGACTTTCAGTATGGTGTAGCATGTATGGACAAAACCAAGCCGTCACACCGGTGTCTTTGATTGCCCAAGAGGTAGACTAAACATAGGTAATGATTTATTTCCTACTTTTAGCATTTACTTACTTGCTTTTGTCATTTATTGACATTTTACGACAAGTTATTCCCCTTTCATGTATGTTTTGATTGAAATGAGTAAAACTAATTTAAAATTTGATGAATTCGTTCTTCTTTTGAATCCTCCAACACTCGTCTAAGATCAAGTTAAGATTCTTTTCAAGTTATTTTCTATTAATTTTTACAGTTGAATCTCGACATATTCATATTCCCAATGTTCTATAAATAAGAAATATTTTTCTATTTTTGAACACAAAATCACTGAGATTAAAGGCTGATTGATGATCATTTAATAGTTAAAAGAAATTAGAGACATTCACAGCTGACCTCATGTGAATTCTTGAGCACACATTCATCTGAGAATAATGGTCATCATGAAAATAGGTTGACCATATTTCTCTCTTTCTTTATAATCGTCTTGTTTCTCTCTCTCCTTCTCTCGTGAGACCTCTTCGTCTCTCTCTATCTCTAGTGAGATCTCTTCCTTTTTCTCCCTCTCTCTCGATTAATCTCTTTTTTTTCTCTATCTTGATCGATCTCCTTCTCTTTCTCTCTCTCGGTCGATCTCCCTCTCTCCTTCTCTCTCTCTCAAGAGACTTTTCTCTCTCTCCATCTCACGTGAGATTTCTCTCCTTTCTTTTTCTCTCCCTTTCACGAGAGATCTCATCCCTTCTCTCTCTTGTGAGAGTTATCTCTTCTCTGTTTTTCTCCTTTTCTCCGCTTCCCTTCCTTTATTGTTCTCACCTCACCTTTCTATTTTATTATTTTTGTTAAATAGAGATAAAATATTTAAATTATTTTATATATAAACTAAATTTATTTTCACTACGAATTAATCAATCTCCTGTGTTTGACCTGAGACTTATTTCTATATTAATATTTTATGAAGTTTTAGTTATAAATATTATTAGATAATGTGCATTTAAACACAACGATAAGTGCACATCACATACACAGCTAAATAATAATTTTCTACTATATAATTTATGTTGTAATTATAAATAAATTCAAAAAAATGTTCATACATACCTAATTTAAGTCCAATGTGATTTTGGGGTTGATTGTATGACTTTCATGTCTCTTCTTTTCACACAAGAAGGGAACCCATTTGTTGACCCACTTTAAGAGATGAAGTTTTCCAATAATAATAAGAAAGATATCAGATATGGGCGAAAAGGAAAATTTTGAAGTACAATTAAGTTATGAATCCTTTCAATCAGGAATAATGATAGAATTTCTTTTGTGGTTGAAATTTTCTACTTCCAAACATTATGTTTACAATTCCTTGCACGAAGAGAGCTGACTCAATTTGTAAGATGAAATTTGACATTCAATATTATCAAGTTATAAATGAAATGAGCTGACCCCTACTAGTAAAAGAAAAGCTCAATACTAATAGCAACTTAAGAGGTAAGTCAACCCACCTAGTAGGAACTTTTTGCATATAATGACCAAGTTATCACATGATGGAGGTGAGTTGATTCATTAAAAAAAGTAGGCATAACTCTTAACATTAATAATGAATGAGACATCACCTAGATGAAATAAGTCAACTCAAATCATTTCACCAGCCAAGTCTCAACATAGTCATTAGAACAAAATAAAAGGGTAAGATAATAATTTTACATCATTAACAAAGTGTTCCATTCTAACATTTGAAAACCTCTTTTAAATCCTTGTGTTGTGCTATTTGTAAAATTGGTGTTTATTACTTCATTATGAGAAATAAATTCACGAGTTGGGTAGCTTGATATAAAGGCTATTAACATGTATCACTAGAGGATAAAATCTAGAAAGGATAAATAGCCATAATATCACTGATAAGTCTTCATTATCATGAGTTAATAATTAGTAAATAATAAATTTTTAGCCTTAACTCGTGATAAATAGACTTATATTTGTGTTAAAGTGTGAAAAGTGGTTTTTAGTTGATTAATGTGATTTTTTGGGTAATTATGTGATTTTATACGAATTTATATGATTTTTACAGTCTTACTTTTGAGATAAATGAAGAAAAAGAAATAAAACTAAAATATTGCAAAATGAAGGGGACCCGCCGGCTAGCCGGGCCCGCAAGCGGGTCGGAAGCTCAGTCGGGGAGTAGCTGCGAGCAGGGGCTCGAGCGGCTTAGCTTGGACCGATAGGGGCACGTGTGCGCCACTCCCCTTCCACGTCACCGGTGGCCAGCTGGCTGTGGGGCAAGGAGTGGTCGTACATGCGAGAGAAGGGACTTTGCTTAGAAAGCTAACATTACTATATATTCGCCTGAAAAATCGACGCACAACCGATGTGGGACTAAACCCGCGTCACACCTTCCTTAGTAGGGGCGGACAACCGGCGTGGGTTCGAATCCTCCTAGAGTCAAAATTCATATATTTTTATCTGATTATCACGACTTTCCTGCAGATCGCCGGTGAAGGATTAAGCAACCAGAATCACTGGATCATCGGCGAAAATCTCGTCAACGCGATTCGCGGAGCATTGCTACTAAAATTGCTGAACAATTTGTGATAAAAGGATCGCGAATCCATCGAGTAAATCATCTCCGATTGATCGACGAACAAGCCGTCGTCGAGAAGAGAACGATCTGCTGGGAGACGAGTCGCCACCTCTTGAGAGCATACTAGATGCGATGAAGAGCCTCCTCTTGTTGCGCGGACCTGAGGATGAAGCTCCCTGACACCCACCCCACCTCCATCCAACTCCTTTCCGTCGGGTGACAGCCGCCGGAGAGCCACAAAGTCGCCGTTTTTTCGCTCCGCCGAGTGATAGTCGTCGAAGACGATTCGACGACCCATTTTATTGATTTCTAGACTTCACAAGGAGATCTAGAGATTGCCCACGTCGTCCTTGTCCAAGGAGAGCCTTCAAGGCCGTGGACACTACACGACGATCCTCCCGAACGCTTAGGATTCCAGTGCATCGCCGACGCATCGCCATCGCAACGCCGGAACTTTGTTTTCTTGCTTTCAACTTACTTTATGCTTCATTTAGTGATAATTTTTGTGATTTTAATTTACCAAAACCAAAAGATACTTTGTTCAATTACGATTCTTTCGGCTTTTACAGATCTTAATTTGATTAATTAAATCGTCTGTAATCGCTTACGTAAGAATCATCGGGTGGAACTTTATTTCCACCCGATTCGCGTTTGCCAGGCGATGACGTCATCCTAACGTATGCACCCTTATTTCCCTTTTTTGTGAATTTTAAATATATTTCCTTTTGATTTTCCTAGTATAAAATTCATAGAAAATAGTGGTCTTTGAGAAAAAATCTGAATAATTACCAGATATTATATTACATCCCTGTGATCGACCTGAAAAATTACCGTTATTTTTGAAAGTTTTATTGAATTATAATTGATATATTTATTCAGAAATACTTCTAAATATCCAAAAATTCATATTTTCTAGTTTTATAAATTTTATATTTGCGTGATTTAATATACAACGCATGAGTCACGTCAAATTTTGGCGCCGTTGCCGGGGATGTATTGCATAATATTTAGTATTTTTCTGTTTTTCTCTTAGAGTACACAAAAAAAAAACTTAACTCTTGTTTTATTTTCTTTTTGCCAATTTTTATTTGAAAAAGGGAACCAAAAGAAGCACGGCAAGGACTGGAGCATCCTGAAGGAAGGTAACAGTTACTAACTTTTTCCCTCGAATTTATTGATTTTTATGCATGGTAGAAGATCCTTGCATCGAAGGCTAGAAAATCCTTTCATTATTTCATTGAAAAATAAAAATCCGAAAGAAAAATTAATTTTGATGGATCCTAAAGGAAGTACAGGTCAAACTAAGAACAATCCTATGGCCATGAAAAATCATTATATCCCTGATTCATTTCAAAGAGCATCCAATATTAGAGTCCCATTAGCACCCACTGTTAAATTCGAAATAAATCCAGGAATTTTTCAAATGCTCCCTAATTTTCATGGATTGCCTTTAGAGGAACCTCATCAGCACTTAGAAAAATTTCATATGGTCTGTGATTTAGTTAATCTCCCTCAAGTTACAACGGAAATTATTAAGATGAAATTATTCCCTCATACACTTAGGGACAAAGCTAGTCATTGGCTATCCACATTAGATAGAGAATTAACTAGCTGAAAAGATATAGAACAGGCCTTTCTTCGAAAATTTTATCCCTTAGGAAAAACTCAAAATATGAGAAAACATCTATGGAGTTTTTCTCAAAGACCAGGAGAAACTTTGCATGAGACATGGAAAAAATTTAAAGATTTACTTAGAAAGTGTCCTCATCATGCTATACCCAAGTGGCAGCTCAATAGAATTTTTTATGATGGATTATTAGAACAACATAGAAATATGGTTGATTCTATATGTGGAGGAGCTTTTATGGAGAAAACTCCTGATGAGATTTACAGTCTTTATGAGAATTTAAGTGAAAATTCTAGCGATCAAGCCTCTTTTGAATTATATGACAGGGATAAGAAGAGAGGAATTTATGAATTACATCATGATGATGATTCTAAACTTAGAAATGAGGTTAATCAGATTAATCAAAGATTAGAAAAAATTGATTTACTTATTGACAATATTAGAAAGCCTTTTAACCCTCAACTTAATTCGAATAGTACATGTCCTATGTATGGTGAAAATGATTATTCTGAATTTCAATGTTATAATTTAGATCAATCATTTCACCCTATGCAAGAACAAGTGCAAGTAGCTCACGGTTTTAATAGAAACAGGGAACCTTTTTCAAATTCTTATAATCCTAATTGGAGGAATAATTTTTCATGGAGAGACCCAAATAATATTCAAAATCCAGAAGCACTTAGACCCAATTCAAACTCTGAATTTCGTCCAAAACAAGAAAACAAATTTCAGAAAAATCAGCCCTCTCAAACCCAACCTGATACTATGGAAATGATGCAGCAAATGAGCCAAATGATGCAACAAACTATGAATCAAATGATGCAACAAACTATGAATCAAATGATGCAGCACTAGAAACAAATTATAGAGGCCCTTGGGAATAAGAGAGAAGAGGGACAGCTACCTAGTCAGCCCATAGAAAATCCAGGGAACCGCCCAACAATAGGATTTCAGCAAGGGGAGTCTAGTAATATGAATCTAGGAAAAAACCCACGAAATGAAAATGTTAGGACAGTGAATGCATTAAGGAGTGGTAAGATCTTACCTGATCCTTATCCCCAAACATTAGAAGAAAAAGAAAACATGGACAACCCAAAACAAAATCAAATAGGAGTAGAAGAGGATTTTATAGATTCTACCAAGGAAATTTCGAAAGAGAGGACCACCATTCCATTTCCTAAAGCTCTCGAGCCTAGACAAAGAAAGAAAAAGGAACACAATGAAGAAATAAAGAAAATTTTACAAGATGTGCAAATTAGTCTTCCTTTACTCACTGCCACTAAACATATTCCTGAATATGCTAGAGTTTTGAAAGAAATGTGTACACCAAAAAGGGCACCTAGAGTAGAAAAATTATCTGTGCATGCTAGTGCATTATTATTAAATCAATTACCATATAAATTGAGAGATACAGGTGCCCCTTTAATTTCGTGTGATATTGGTGGATTCATTTTTCAGAATGCATTACTTAACACCGGTGCTAGTATTAATTTATTACCTGCAAGTATTTGTGATAAATTTAATATTTCTGATCTTAAACCTTCTACTGTTACCTTAAAATTTGTTGATAGATCCATAAAACATCCTAAAGGTATTTTAGAAAATGTGATAGTGACAGTTAAAGGGTGTAAATTTCCAGCTGATTTTGTAGTGCTGGAAATGGATTTTAATGGACAGTTTTATGATATGCTAATCATCCTAGGGAGACCATTTTTGCATATAGCAAAGATGAATATTGATTTTCCTACAGGTATTGCGAAAATTTCATGTGGAGATCAATCAGTAGAAATTAAAATTTTTGAGGTACCAAATGATCTTAAGAAATCACAAGTATATGATTGTCATACCATAGATCTTCTAGATGATTTTGATGATCCAGATGTTATTGATGATTGTGTGCTGGAAGAATTAGAGGAAATAGAGAATATAAATTTGGGAGAAAAGAAAGAGGAAGATCATCTGAATTTAGAGTTGAAACCTCTTCCCTCTAGTTTAAAATATATGTTTCTGGAGGAAAATAATTCATTTCCTGTTATTATTGCAGCTGATTTGAGTGATGAACAGGAAGAAGAATTATTAGATGTACTTTGAAAAAATAAGAAGGCTATGGGCTGGAAAATGGACGATCTAAGGGGCATTGATATGAGTGTATGCATGCATAGTATATATCTAGAGGAGGGGGCCAGAACTAGCAAGGAACCACAACGAAGATTAAATCCTAACATGATGGAAATTGTAAAAAAAGAAATTTTAAAGTGGCTGGCTGCTGATATTATTTATCCTATTTCAGATAGCAAATGGGTTAGTCCTACACAAGTAGTGCCAAAAAAATCAGGGATCACGGTTATAAAAAACGAAAATGCGGATGAAATACAAACAAGATTAACTACCGATTGGAGGGTTTGCATTGATTATAGAAAATTAAATTCAGTTACTAGAAAAGATCATTTTCCCCTACCATTTACTGATCAAATTCTAGAAAACTTAGTTGGAAAAAACTTTTTTTGTTTTCTGGATGGATACTCTGGTTATAATCAAATTTATATAAACCCTTTAGATCAAGAAAAAACAACTTTCACTTGTCCATTTGGTACTTTTGCTTTTAAACGCATGCCTTTTGGTCTGTGTAATGCTCCAGCCACATTTCAAAGATGTATGCTGTCTATTTTTTCTGATATGATTGGAAAATGCATGGAAATTTTTATGGACGATTTTTCTATTTTTGGTGAATCATTTGATGAATGCTTAAATCATTTACAACATGTACTTGAAAAATGTATAGAGAAAAAATTAGTTTTGAGTTGGGAGAAATCACATTTTATGGTTAAAGAGGGAGTTGTGTTGGGTCATATTGTGAGTAAAAGGGGTTTAGAGGTGGATAGAGCAAAAATTGATATTATATCTAAAATGAAACCTCCAAATTCAGTAAAACAGATTAGATCTTTCTTGGGTCATGCAGGTTATTACAAAAAATTTATTCAAGATTTTTCGAAGATTTCTAAACCTCTCACCATGTTATTATCTAAAGATGTGCCTTTTAATTTTGATGAGAAATGTTTTGAGTCTTTTTCCGAAATAAAAAGATTACTCACTGAGGCACCCATTTTACAAGCTCTTGATTGGTCCCTTCCCTTTGAAATAATGTGTGATGCATCGAATTATGCAGTGGGGGCCGTTCTAGGACAAACAAAAGAGTCAAAACCCATAGTAATTTCATATGCTAGTAAAACTATATCCGATGCTCAATTAAATTATACCACGACTGAAAAAGAGTTGTTAGGTGTAGTATTTTCGTTAGAAAGGTTTAGATCATATATTTTGGGAGCTAAAATTATTATTTATACTGATCATGCAGCATTAAAATATCTATTAAATAAGAAAGGTGCAAAGCCACGTTTATTAAGATGGATTTTATTGTTGCAGGAATTTGACTTAGAAATAAAAGATAAAAAAGGTTTCGAGAATGCTGTTGTTGACCATCTTTCTAGATTAAGTGACACAGGAATAAATGCAGCACCTTTACAAGACGCATTTCCAGATGAACAATTGATGGCAGCTCAACATCAACCATCACCATGGTATGCATATATTGTTAATTTTCTGGTTTCTGGAAAAATTTCAGAACAGTGGGATAAGAATAGAAAACATCATTTCTTTTCTAAGATTAGAAATTATTTTTGGCATGGTCCTGATTTATATTACTTGGGCAATGATCAAATTTTAAGGAGATGTGTTCCTGAAGAAGAATACCATAGCATTATTAACATGTGCCATTCATCTAACTGTGGAGGACACTTCTCTGGACGAAAAACAGCTGCAAAAAATTTTCAGTGTGGTTTTTATTGGCCTACAATCATTAGAGATTCTATAGAATTTAGTAGAACATGTATTTCATGCCAATCTATAGGTAACATGAGTAAGAAAGATGAAATGCCCATGAGTAACATGTTAGTAGTCGAAATTTTTGATGTATGGAGAATAGATTTCATGGGTCCCTTCCTATTAGCTGAAAAATATGAATATATTTTGCTTGCTGTTGATTATGTGTCGAAGTGGGTGGAAGCTATTCCTACTAGAACTAATGATCATAAAATCGTGATGAAATTTGTGCAGGAAAATATTTTTTCGAGATTTGGATGTCCTAGAGTGATTATTAGTGATGGAGGAACACATTTTACAAATAAAAATTTTAGAGAACTGTTGAAAAAGAATGGAGTACACCATAGAGTAGCCACTCCATATCATCCCCAAACAAATGGGCAAGCTAAAGTAGCAAATAGGGAAATTCAGAGAATTTTGAGAAAAATAGTTAGACCAGATAGGAAAGATTGGCCCACGAAATTACAAGATGCATTATGGGCTTATAGAACAGCTTATAAAAATCCCATAGGTATGTCCCCATTTCGTCTCATTTTTGGAAAGCCATGTCATCTTCTTGTGGAAATAGAGCATAAAGCATTATGGGCTATAAAAAATTTATGTATGGATGAAAAATCAGCTGGTGGGCATAGAATTTTTCAGCTACATGAACTAGAGGAGTTGAGGAATGAAGCTTATGAAAATCATAGAATATATAAAGAAAAAACTAAAACTTTTCATGATAAATACATTAGCAGAAAAAAATTTGTTGGACAAAAAGTGTGGTTATATGATTCTAGGCTGAAATTATTCCCAAGAAAATTAAAATCAAAATGGAAAGGGCCTTATGTGGTGGAAGAGACATATGATCATGGGGCTGTAATGATTAAAGATCCTAAAAGTGATCATAACTTTAAGGTAAATGGACAGCGGCTTAAACATTACATAGAACATGAACGCCTTGCAGAAAAAGAAATTTTATTATTAAAAGAAATTCAAGAGTAAGATCAAGGAGTCCAGCTGGAGACATTAAATTCAGCGCTGCATGGGAGGCAACTCATGGTTTTTATTTCATTTTGTTTGATTTTTTTTAAGCTCTGTTTTTCTTAGAATTTTGCAGTACTTGTTTCTGTATTTGTTTTTTCGAAAAAGTGCAGGAGGAGGCGTGTAAGACGAAGTGGAAAATTAAAAACGAGGTTGAGGTGATGTCTTTCGGAGCTTTATCATTTATGACAACATTTTAAATGCTAAACTTTGCATATATGCATGCTTCACTTGAAAATTATATTTTCTGTATATTCTGTTTCGATTTTTCTGTGTCATTGAGGACAATGTCATTTTTAAGTTGGGAGGTGAAGTATTCATTATTAATTTATGTTGTAGGACGATTAAGAACATGTGTTTGCATTTTATTCAACTTAGAACAGCAACTAAAAAAATAAAAAAAAAGATCGCCGAATTCGGAAAAACTGCAACATCTATTTTCTGGTTTTCTGTCAGGAACAACAGACTGTCAAAAATAGCAGACGAAAAAATAACCCAAAATTTGAAATTATAGAGACCCTTTTCTCACATTTCAATCCCCTAGACATATATTACTGAAATTCAAAATTACAGCTATAAAGAAGATAGTTTTGATTTATTTTTGACAAATTTATTGCTACTAAAATAGAACTGAAAACAGAAAACAGAACTGTCAGAACTATCTAATTTACAAATTTCTTACATCATATTGCATGCATGAAAAATTAAATCAATTAGATTGATTGATACCAAAAGATACTAGGAAGATTATTATTGAGTCAAAAGAATGATCTAGTAGCATGAAATGCTGGAATACTCCTTGGATACATGATAGATAACATGGATTTGATTTTACAGATTTTCACTTCATGATCTTGATGGATAGTATTTACTTGATGTGAAAATTTGATTGATCATTTGAGTTTAATGGAGATTTTTGCACCCTGATCTATAGGACTTGTGAGGAGAAATCACTTATTTCGAAAAAAAAAAGAGAGAGCAATGTGAAAAATCTAGAAACGAAGAGTACACATGGAGGGTGTGAGACATTATTCTCATTGTCGAAAATCGTGTATAGAAAAACACTTACTGCAAAATAAGTGGATAAACTGAAAGCCCTGAAAATGAAGAGTACACATAGAGGGTGTGAGACACCATTCTTATTGTCGAAATTTATCTATAGGAAAAGCTACTTATCCACTATATATAAAGAAAGAAGAAATATAGTGAAAACTTCAAAAATCAAGCCATAGAAAAAGGAAAATGTAGGATCAATATTATTCTTGGATGAGTATTGATAATTGGAACATCTTATAAATATATCTATGAGTGAAGAAGTGATAAAGATGTGAATAGAAGAAGTGAAGTCTAGATTGTTATTCCAAGGAGTGTTTAAACATTTAAGTGCTTGACATCATTCTTAAATACTTGATATAAGAATCCAAAGTGTCTAAAGGTGCATCATTTCTAATTGTATTTTTTTTCTTTCTGTATTGAAATATGATGTTTGAGATTTGTAAATTTTTATTTTCGTAATTCCATTGCTAAGGGACTAGCAATGATTTAAGTTGGGGGTGTGATAAGTCTTCATTATCATGAGTTAATAATTAGTAAATAATATAGTTTTAGCCTTAACTCGTGATAAATAGACTTATATTTGTGTTAAAGTGTGAAAAGTGGTTTTCAGTTGATTAATGTGATTTTTTGGGTAATTATGTGATTTTATATGAATTTATATGATTTTTATAATCTTACTTTTGAGATAAATGAAGAAAAAGAAATAAAACTAAAATATTGCAAAATGGGGGGACCCGCCGGCCAGCCGGGCCCGCAAGCAGGTCGGAAACTCAGTCGGGGAGTAGCCGCGAGCAGGGGCTCGAGTGGCTTGGACTGATAGGGGCTCGTGTGTGCCACTCCCCTTCCACGTCACCGGTGGCCAGCCGGCTGTGGGGCAAGGAGTGGTCGTACACGCAGGAGAAGGAACTTTGCTTAGAAATGTAACATTACTATATATTCGCCCGAAAAATCAGTGCACAACCGATGTGGGACTAAACCCACGTGACACCTTCCTTAGAAGGGGTGGACAATCGGCGCGGGTTCGAATCCTCCCAGAGTCAAAATTCATATATTTTTATCTGATTATCGTGACTTTTCTACAGATCGTCGATGAAGGATTAAGCAACGAGAATCACTGGATCATCGGCGAAAATCTCGTCAATGCGATTCGCGAAGCATTGCTACTAAAATTGTTGAACGATTCGAGTAAATCATCTCCGATTGATCGTCGGGAAGAAGACGATCCACCGGGAGACAAGTCGCCACCTTCTGAGAGCGTACCAGATGCGACGAAGAGCCTCCTCTTGCTGCGCGGATCTGAGAATGAAGCTCTCTGACATGCGCCCCACCTCCATCCAACTCCTTTCCGTCGGGTGACAGCCACCAGAGAGCCGCAAAGTCGCCATTTTTTCGCTCCGCCGGGTGACAGCCACCAAAGACGACTCGATGACCCATTTCATTAATCTCTAGACTTCGCGAGAAGATCTAGAGATTGTCCACGTCATCTTTGTCCAAGAAGAGCCTTCGACACCGTGGACACTGCGTGACGATCCTCCCGAACGCTCAGGATTCCGGTGCATCGCCGACGCATCGCCGTCACGACGTTAGAACTCTATTTTCCTGCTTTCAACTTAACTTCCATTTCATTTAGTGATAATTTGTTGATTTTAAATTTACCAAAATATACTTTGTTCTATTACGATTCTTCCGGCTTTTACAGATCTTAATTTGATTAATTAAATCGTCTATAATCGCTTACGTAAGAATCGCCAGGCAGAACTCTATTTTCACCCGATTCGCGTTCGCTGGGCGCTGACGTCATCCTGGCGTCCGCACCCTTATTTCCTTTTTTTTGTGAATTTAAAATATATTTCGTTTTCATTTCTTAGTATAAAACTCATAGAAAATAGTATTTTTTGAGGAAAATTCTGAATAATTACCAGATATTATATTACATCCCTATGATCGACCTGGAAAATTACCGCTATTTTTGGAAGTTTTATGGAATTATAATTGATATATTTATTCAGAAATACTTCTAAATATTCGAAAATTCGTATTTTCTAATTTTATAAATTTTATATTTGCGTGATTTAATATACAACGACTGAGTCACGTCAATAGGTAATGTATTTTTAGGGTCTAAGAATGCTTTTTTTTTTTTTTTTTTTTTTTTTTTTTTTTTTTTTTTTTTTGAAGAAGAAGAAGAAGAAATTTGATTGAGTGATAAAAGTTTGACCTCATTCCGAGGTTACATAAGTGGGATCTCATTCGCACAAGGGGCGAGGATGACATGAAGAATGAAAGACCTCTTTTGAAGAGGGGATGTGATGATACTGGAGATAGACTCCAAGGCGTTCATCATATTTGAGGAAGGTGATTGATTTGCATTGGGTTGAACTTTGAGTTCATGAAAGTTGGAAGATCTGCTCAACAGGAGTAGGACGAGAGCTCCATGTTGTGCGCCATGCAATGTTCCTGCAAGACAAGAGTTTGCTGCAGTAAGTGGTTCTAAGAGATAAATAAATTGATATAAAGTGGTGAGAAAAGAGTGATTAGGGCAGTGAGGAGGATAGAACTATGCTGAAGCATGACAATAAGCCCAAATATGAACTTGCCTTGCTAGTGTTGCACGCGCCTAATCCCTCTGGCCAAGATCTTGTTAGTATCATCAGTTGCCGTACTTCCTCTAAGTAGGTAAGGGACCTTTCACCCCACGAGGAATGACTTGGTCTCTGGTTCTAACTCTTTTCTTTTCTCTTATTCTCTCTCTCTTCTTTCTCTCTCCTTGAGGGCCTCTTCTTTTACCCTCCACTAATGCCCATTATTTGGTGTACATTAGGCTAGTGATTAAGGGAAGGGAAAAAGGTTGCCCCTTTTTTTTTTTTTTTTTTTTTTGTTTTTTGGTTTTAGGGCCCTTTCCCTCACCCTCCACTAATTGTCTATGATGGGCTAGTGATTCCGGGAAAAGAAGTAGGCTGTCTTTTTTTTTTTTTTTTTTTTTTTTTCCTAGAGAGAGAAAGGGAGGGAGAAAGAAATAGAGAATCGAGAGAGAGAGAGAGGAGAGAGGGTCAATCCTATGGATATAGATCTTTACCTTCTCATGGGTTCAAGCTGGCTGATGGTACTAATAAGATCTTGAGAGAGGTGCTAGGTTGCCGATTCACAACTAGTTTGGCAGGTCTGATGTGCTATAGACCTATAGTTCAAAAGTGGGCCGATGCCAACATATGCTGATAGTTCTATGTCCTCACTACTTGAGCATGATAGATAGTAGATGTGATGTGATTATGAGGAGAGTAATGATTGGAAGTAATGTACCCGAGTGGATTACGATGTGCCTTGTTGTCCGTGTTGTGCTGTATCTCCATTGTGGTCTTCAGCGGCCAATAGTAACCACCCCTGATCTCCTCCAAGCAATACGCCACTGTCGTGGAGAGGCCGGTAGTGGAGTGCGGTGTATGCGTAAAGAGGGTATGCCGAGTCGCTCAAGTCTATGAGCACCTCGGGCTTCCAGGGGCATGTCCTGCCAAAAAGAGAAGACTGTCCTCCGACGCGATCTGACTCCATGCGCAGCAAGGGCGTCAGCTGTCTGATTCCCTTCTCGGAATTGATGCGTAATAGTTGTGATGCGTCCTCGACATCGCATGATGTCTGCCCAGATATTCTTGAGCCTCCAATGAGGACAAGAGTCTGCACGTAACATGTCCACTAACACTTTGGAATCAGATTCTAAGACAATGTTAGTAATATTTTGCTCCTCACAAAGAAACAAACCATCCCGTATTGCCATAGCCTCTGCCACAATATTAGTTTGTATATTATAAAAGTTCGAAAAGGCAAAGAGAATGCATCCTATACTATCGCGTAAGATACCGCCTCCTCCAGATGATCCTGGGTTGCCTTGAGATGCTCCGTCGACGTTGAGTTTCCACTGTCCAGCCCTCGGTGGTGTCCATCTAACAGATCGGACAGTAGTCCAGGTCTGTGTAGGTATGATATGGAGTCCCCAAAGCCCAAAAGCCTCACAAACAGAACGCGAGCGTTTCGTTTTATTTGGCACTAAGGAATGAGTACTCCGAAGCCATTGTGTTACGTGCCTCATAATCTCTGTGGCACGCATCACTTGGCCTGCATATCGAGATGAGTTACGTCCCTTCCATATTTCCCATAACATATATGCTATGGAGATACGGATGAAAGGACAAACCTTGACACTCGTCGGTGAGTCAAAGACTCTCCTAAAGACCTCTAGTGGTGGTCTCGTAGGTCTGTACGAGAGCATTGGAAGCCAATTCGCTAGAAGTTGACGCCAACACTCGACAGCGATATCACTATGGAAAAATAAATGTTCCATACTTTCGTCTGTCGTGATGGAGCAACAATGACATTTCCTTTCCACCTCCTGATCGGTGACAATCACTCGATCGTCGGTGGGTAGTCCTCGGTGCATGAACTTCCACAGGAAGAACGAAACACGAGGTGTGATGGCCGGATGCCATATGAGATTTCCCCAAAATGTCTTTGGGGAGCGGTTTCTAAAGTGCTCCCAAGAGGAGCTACAAGAGAAACTGCCATCTATGGTAATGAAGAGGGTAAAGGTTTTAGGTCTAAATTTGGGACAATGAAAGGTTCTAGAGGTTTCAATAGTTTTCTTTTGTCTATTTCACAAATTTCAAAATAATTTTCTCCTAACTCATCATCTTCATCAAAGACATCACAAATGTCAACTTCTTCATGGCTAACACTAAGATATTTCATTAATTTCGAAATATTCAGTTCGACTTTCTCCTTTCCTACCCTTAATATTACTGTCTTTTTCTTAATCCGTTATGGCTTTAGTGGTGATAAAAAAGGGTCTCCTTAAAATTATGGGTGCTCTACTCTAATTATCAGGCATTTTCATATCAGCCACAATAAAATCAATAGGAAATGCACACTGTTCTATCTTCGTTATGACATCCTCCAACACACCATATGATTACTTAATAGATCCATCCACAAGTTGTAATTCTAAAAGGACTGATTCTAGATTTCCAATTTTAAATTTGTCATATAATACTTTTGGCATGAGATTGACACTAGCACCAAAATCTAATAAAGATCTAGAAAAATATGTTTCTCCAATATCACAAGAAATTAAGGGTGTACCTAAATCCTTTTCTTTTTTCTAGAATTTGATTTAATATGATAGAACTAACACTTTCAAACAATTTGACTCTCTTGGGTTTCCAATTGGGAGTATAAAGTTCCTTAACATATTTTGAGAATGAAGGAATATCTTTTGTTTCTTCTTCTAAGGAAATGACTATTGTTGTCTCTTTAAAGGTTTCTAGGAGTTTACTATTTTAGATGGGAGGTTTGGTAAATTTTAAAGCTTTTGGAAAAATAATAGGCGGTTGATATTTTTCGAAGGTTGGTTCTCTTTCTTTCAACTCTACTTTTTCCTCTTCTTTCTCTAAGGTTTTCTCTTGCTCTCCCTTTTCATTCTTGTCATAAGGGTCAACTAAACATTTCCCATTTCTTAATTTAGTTATGGCATGAATACATTCATGATTTTCAAAAGGAAAAGATGCATGAGATTTTATAGAAATAATATTACAAAGATTAATTGAGGGCTGAGTTGAAAATCAACCTATACCATAGTCCACTTCTCTCCCTTTACCTTTCATATTTTCAACATTAGAGTTGACTTGATTCAACCTCTCCACATCAGCCTTGAGCTGCTCCACATCTCTCACTATGTCTTGCACTACTTCTTTTGTTTCACACTATTCTTTTTGAATTTCCTACAAAATCTGTGTAAGGAGTTCATTAGAGTTACCTTGAGGCATGTTTTGTGGTTGAGATCATTGGAAGTAAGGTCTTGGCTAAAATTAGGGTCGAGATTCCTTATTGAAGTTTGCATTGCCTCGCCCATTTCATGAATTGTGAGGTGGTGCATGTTTCATCACATTCACTTCACCGGTGTCGATGTATTCCCCATCTACATGTCCTTTGCTAAAACACATAAAGCATGGAGTATTATGAACATGTGAAATAGTAGGATTAGATAATAAATTTAACATCATGTTAGTCAACTTTCCTAAATGCCTATTAGTCATATCCCTTTTAATTTCAGGTTCAATACCTTTTGAAGATCTCTTTTGATGAATTTTTATAGTAAAAGAAAGGTTATAAAAAAAAATAAAAAAAAATACTAACTATCATTGAATCATCGCGGATCCAACTACACAATTAGTTGCAGGGGGTCAAGGGGGAAGCTGCCCCTTGTGAGGCGTGGGACAGCTCCCCGCTGCTCAAAAATCTCATGAAATTGGATATGTAAAAAGTGATATTTTTCTTGAAAAGTTCTCAATCGATGACTAACGTGACTTAGTCATTGTATATTAAATCACACAAATCTTAAATTTATAAAACTGGAAAATACGAATTTTCAGACATTTAGAAGTATTTTTGAACAAATATATCAATTATAATTCAATAAACTTCCAAACATAGCGATAATTTTCCAAGTCAATCATAGGGATATAATATAATATCTTATAATTATTTAGAATTTTTCTCAAAGAATAATATTTTATATAAATTTTATACTAAGAAATGAAAAAGAAATATATTTAAAATTCACGGAAAAAGGAAATAAGGGTGCGGACGTCAGGATGACGTCAGCACCTAGCTAACGTGAATCAGGCAGAAATAGAGTTCCGCCTGGCAATTCTTATGTAAGCGATTACAAATGATTTAATTGATCAAATTAAGATCTGTAAAAGTCGGAAGAATCGTAATGAAATGAAGTATATCTTAGTAAATTTAAAATCAACAAATTATCACTAAATGAAGTGTAAAGTAAGTTGAAAGTAAGAAAATAGAGTTCTGGCATCGCGGCGGCGATGCGTCGGGGATGCACTGGAATTCTGAGTATTCGGGAGGATAGTCGTGTAGTATTCACGGCCTCGAAGGCTCTCCTTGGACAAGGACGATGTGGGCAATCTCTTGATCTCCTTAGGAAGTCTAGAGATCAATGAAATGGGTCGTCGAATCGTCTCCGACAGTTGTTACCCGACGGAGTAGAAAAATGACGACTTTGCGGCTCTCCGACAGCTGTCACCTGACAGAGAGGAGCTGGATGGAGGTGGGGCACATGTCAGGAAGCTTCATCCTCAAGTCTGTGGAGCAAGAGGAGGCTTTTCATTGCATCCGGTATGCTCTCACGAGGTGGCGACTCATCTCCCAGCAGATCGTCCTCTTCCCGACGACGGCTTGTTTGTCGATCAATCAAAGATGCTTTACTCGATGGATTCGTGATCCTTTTATCGCAAATCGTTCAATAATTTTAGTAACAATACTCCGCGAATCGCATTGACGAGATTTTCACCGATGATCCAGTAATTCTGGTTGCTTAATCCTTCACTGGTGATTTTTAAAGGCAAGTCCCTTTCTCGCGCGTGCACGACCACTCCTTGCCTCACAACCGGCTGGCCACCGGTGACGTGGAAGGGGAGTGGCGCACACGTGCCCCTATCGGTCCAAGCCACTCAAGCCCCTGCTTGTGGCTACTCCCCGACTGTGCTTCTGACCTGCTTGCGGGCCCGGCTGGCCGGTGGGTCCCCTATTTTGTCTTATTTTTATTTTTATTTCTTTTTCTTCATTTATCTCAAAAGTAAGATTGTAAAAATCATATAAAATCATTTAAAATCACATAATTACCTAAAAATTCACGTTAATCAACTGAACACCACTTTTCACAGTTTAATACAAATATAAGTCTATTTATCATGAGTTAAGGCTAAAACTATATTATTTACTAATTATTAACTCATGATAATGAAGACTTATCAATGACTTAGAAAATTATTCGCTGAAGAAAGAAAAAATGACAAAAAAATAAAGAAAAAATTATATTCTCTCAATGACACCTAGTTTGCTAGCAACAATGCCAATTTGATAAACTCAAATTGGAGGTTAAATATATTGTCATGATTCAACCAAGTTCATGTAAATAATATTTATGAAATCTCACATTTTTATTTACGATAAGTAAGGATTGATGTTCAAAGAGTATGGGTAATGAGAGTACAAATTCTGCTTATTTTATTTCTTATATAGATATATATGCATGAGATTGTGAAGGACAAAATTAAATGTAAAAAGGTGAAGACAAGAGTTATGAAAAGCGTGACAAAAGAGAGAGAATGAATCTGACGCAATGGAATGATAAAATAAATAATAAAACTATTTCAAATTGCAAGTTAATCTATCTATGGAGAGGATTACAAGAACGTCCCAAATCTAGATCTTGCACAAACCTCGTTGTGCCCTAATCCTAGGCCGAGTGATGCTTGATCCATGACGATCTTGATGCACTCTAGGTAGTCGCTTCTCCACGATGATCTTGGGCATGAGAATGCTATTGACCAGGTCTTGATTTCTCTCCTATTTTGTTTGGCTAGCCACTACTAGAGAGAGCCAAAAAGCATCCTCCAAGAGGGAGGCGTGATGCCTAATCCTCTCGAAAATTAGGCCCCTCTAATAGATGGTTATGATTAATAACCAAACTCCCTTGGTGGATGGCCCAGATCATTCTATGAGGGCAGCATTCTAATTCTTCTCTTAATCTCATCTTAAGGTGCCTTAAGATGTGCAGCCTAGATCTCATCTCTTTATAACTCTTTCAAGTCCAAATGGGTTAGGCCAAGATGACACCCTCTCTTAGTCTCATAAATATATTACGCCAACCCTCTCCATAAAACTTGGGCTTTTCATTAGGCTGAAGGCTTGGGCTTCTTCTTTTACTTCCAACTCATAATAAAAGCTCACCTAAGTTCTTGCAATCAAATAATTATCAAGAAAATGTGAGAGAATCACTACTTGACTTCATAAAAGTCAAGTGGGGTTAGTCTCATAATATAAATAAAATAAGTAAAATAATATACATTAGGACTTAAATGATGAAATATTATGAATGTTGTAATGAGTCGGTAACACATATATAATTATATTATCTACCCACTAATTAACATTTATATATAAGATATTAATGTATAGATGTAACTACTAATTTGTAATTATCACAAGGACACTCTAAATTTAGATCTTGCACAAACCTTATTTTGTTCCAATCCTAGGCCGAGTGATGCTTAATCCATGATGATCTTGATGCACCTTAGGTAATCTCTTCTCTACGATGATTTTGAGCATGAGAATGTCTTTGATTAGGCTTTGATTTTTCTCTTATTTTTTTCAACTAGCTACTACTAGAGAGAGAACCAAAAATAACCCTCTAAGAGGAAGGCAAGATGTCTTAATCCTCTAGAGAATTAGGCCCCTCCAATAGATGGTTATAATTAATAACCGACTCTCTTGGTAGACAGCCCAAATCATTTCATGAGGGTAGTGCTTTAATCCTTCTCTTAATCTCATCTTAAGGCGGCCTAAGATGAGCAGCTTAGATCTCATCTCTTGATAGCCCTTTTAAGTCCAAATAGGCTTGGCCAAGGTGATGCCCTCTCTTGAGCCCATAAATATATTAGGCTGGCCCTCTTCATAAGACTTAAACTTTTTATTGGACTAAAGGCTTAGGCTTCTTCCATTACTTCCAACTCATAATAAGAACTCACTAAGTCTTTACAATCAAATAATTATCAAAACAATATGAGATAATCACCACTTGACTTCATAAAAGTCAAATAGGATTAGTCTCATAATGTAAATAAAATAAGTAAAATAATATGCATTAAGTCTTAAATGATAAAATATTATGAATATCATAATGAGTTGGTAACACATGTATAATTCTATTATCTATTCATTAATTCACATTATATATAATATATTAATGCATAGATGCAACTACGAATTTATAATTTTCAGTCTTCCCTCTCCATCTCTCATGAAATATCTCTTTCTCTCTCCCTCTCTCTAGATTGATCTCCCTCTCTTTCTTCTCTCTCTCTCTCTCCCTTCCTTCTATTATCTACTTTCTTTATTCTTCTCATCTCTCACTTCTATTTTATTATTTTTACTAAATAGTAATAAAATATTAAAATCTCTTTATATAAAAATTAAATTAATTTTTAAGGATGAATTAATTAATATTTATGTGTTTGACTTGAGACTTACATCTATACTAATAGCTTATTAAGTCTTAATTATAAATATTATAGATAATGGGCATTCAAATACAATGATAAGTGTACATCAATTTTAAATCATAAATTTAGTAGAATTATTATGTATCTATAAGGATGAAAGACAAAAAGTATGTCTTTAATTCATTCTCATCACTTATTAATAATTAAGCAACTGAGTAATAGAAAAAGAACAAAGATGATCTTTCTAATCGTCAAGTCATTGTAGGCAAATTTCCTTTTCTTTATTGACAATAATAAATCATTATTCAGCTACACCTTCAATCCATATCACTAGACTCATGTTGGCATGTGGAATCTTGGAAGATAATGTGGAAACATAGGAACAAAGGAGAAGAGTAAAATTCATTGATTGCTTGTCCTACTACTAGTGAAGCAATAGAATAAACAATTTATAGCTCAATAATACCTAAAAATGATAAAATATATTATTCTAAAAAGAAAACAATGTTAGATCTTGTCATGTGTGTCACCTCACATGATTAAATAAGTAATATATTGAAATAAAACACAAGAATAAAAAACTCTTAGTAAAATAAAGGAGAAAATACAAAGAAATTGAGTTGCAACTTTGTTGTCATACACAAAGAGATTTGAATGAGAATGTAAACCAAAAACTAGATTAAAAAGAAGCTTAAAAGAGCTAGAATCAAGAGAAGAACCAATTATGAATCTCAAGAAATTGAAAAATAAGGAATTTCACACAAAAGAGAAAATTACTCATGCTCCTTCAAGTCATCATAGAGAAGAACAAGCCAACCCCTCTCTTCAAAAGAAGGGAGAAGCTCCGAATAGAAGTAAGAAATCCTCTTGTAATATTTCTTCCTCTCACTTTTACACATGAATCTAGGTAGTAGTAATTGTAAGTTAACAATGCTACCATGCAGTCCTACTTTAGGTGTCCTACATAAAGTGTGTCATGTGTGATAATTATAAATTAGTAGTTACATCTATGTATTAATACCTTATATCTAGATGCTAATTAGTGAGTAGAGAATGTAATTATACATGTATTATCAACTGATTATGAGATTCATAATGTTTTATTATTTACGTTCTAATATATATTATTTTATTATTTTATTGATATTATGAGACTAACCTCACTTGACTTTTATGAAGTCAAGTGGTGATTTTCTCATATTTTCTTGATAATTATTTAATTTGAAAAACTTAAGTGAACTCTTATTATGAGTCAGAAGTAATGGAAGAAACCCAAGTTTTCAGCCCAACAAAAAGCCTAAGTCTTATGGAGAAGACTAGCCTAATATATTTATGAGTCCAAGAGAGGGTGTCATCTTGGTCAAGCCCATTTAGACCTTAAGTGGCACATGACCTTAGCCTAATCTATCTGGACTGAAAAGGCCTATCAAGAGATGATATTTAGTCCACCCATCTTAGGGTGCCTTAAGACAAGATTAAGAGGAGGATTAAAGTGTTGCCCTCATGATAGAATCTGGGCCGTCCACCAAGAGAATCGGTTATTAATCATAATTTTTTATTAGAGGATCTTAATTTTCTAGAGGTTTAAAGCCTCTCACCCCCCTTCTTAGAAGAGCCTTTTTGGCTCTCTCTCTCTAGTAGTGGCTAGTTGAAGGAAAAAAGAAGGAAATCAAGGCTCAGTCAATGGTATTCTTGTGCCCAAGATCATCGTGAAGAAAAGACTACTTATACTACATCAAGATTATTGTGAATCAAGCACCACTCAGCCTAGGACTAACATATAATGAGGTTTGTACAAGATCAAGATTTGGGGCGTCCTTGTAATCTTCTCCATAGATAGATTATCTCTTAGTTCAACTAGTTTTATTATTTATTCTATCATTCTATTATGCTAGATCCATTCTCTCTCCTTTTGCCACACTTTGTATTTCTTTTTATCTTCACCCTTATTAGATTAATTATGCCCTTCACAATCTCAAGTATATCTATATATATAAGAAATAAAATAAGTAAAATTCTTACTCTCATTATCTACGTTCCTTGAGAATCGACCTTTACTTATCCTAAATTGAAGAGTGAGATTTTATAAATATTATTTGCATAAACTTGGTTGTATCACGATGACATATTTAACCTCTAAATCGGGTTCATCCATGTGCTAACCACAAAAAGCACCATTGTATCTTGTTTCTTCATTACAAATGTGACAAATGCCTATTCATGTACAACATGTTGTTCTTCACTCAAAAGTCATGTGTAGTGTTGTTGGTTATACTTTGCAACAAGCTCTTTGCTCTTCATTTGTGGACAATGCAGCTTGGATCTCATCCAACATCATCTCATGCACTATTGTGATGGCTGCAAAGCAAGCTTCATACTCCTTATGATTGAGGATGTTGATCACTACATTGACTTGTCCTAGCTGGTTGCAACAATTAAGGTGATTGACGTGACTCAGTCGTTGTATATTAAATCACGCAAATATAAAATTTATAAAACTAGAAAATATGAATTTTTGGATATTTAGAAGTATTTCTGAATAAATATATCAATTATAATTCAATAAAACTTCCAAAAATAGCGGTAATTTTCCAGGTCGATCACAGGGATGTAATATAATATCTGGTAATTATTCAGATTTTTTCTCAATGAATACTATTTTCTATGAATTTTATACTAGGAAATGAAAAGGAAATATATTTAAAATTCACAAAAAAGGGAAATAAGGGTGCAGACGTTAGGATGACGTCATCGCCTGGCAAACGCGAATCGGGTGGAAATAAAGTTCCACCCGATGATTCTTACGTAAGCGATTACAGACGATTTAATTAATCAAATTAAGATCTGTAAAAGCCGAAAGAATCGTAATTGAATAAAGTATCTTTTGGTAAATTAAAATCACAAAAATTATCACTAAATGAAGCATAAAGTAAGTTGAAAGCAAGAAAACAAAGTTCCGCCGTTGTGATGGCGATGCGTCGGCGATGCACTGGAATCCTAAGCGTTCGAGAGGATCGTCGTGCAGTGTCCACGGCCTCGAAGGCTCTCCTTGGACAAGGACGACGTGGGCAATCTCTAGATCTCCTTGTGAAGTCTAGAAATCAATAAAATGGGTCGTCGAATCGTCTTCGACGACTGTCACTCGGCGGAGCGGAAAAACGGTGACTTTGTGGCTCTCCGGTGGCTGTCACCCGACGGAAAGGAGTTGGATGGAGGTGGGGCGCATGTCAGGGAGCTTCATCCTCAGGTCCGCGCAGCAAGAGGAGGCTCTTCATCGCATCTGGTACGCTCTCAGGAGGTGGCGACTCATCTCCCGGCGGGTCATCCTCTTCCCAACGACGGCTTGTTCGTCGATCAATCGGAGATGATTTACTCGATGGATTCATGATCCTTTTATCGCGAATCGTTCAGCAATTTTAGTAGCGATGCTCCGCGAATCACGTTGACGAGATTTTCGCCGATGATCCAGCGATTCTGGTTGCTTAATCCTTCACCGGCGATCTGCAGGAAAGTCGCGATAATCAGATAAAAATATATGAATTTTGACTCTAGGAGGATTCGAACCCGCGCCGGTTGTCCGCCCCTTCTGAGGAAGGTGTGATGCGGGTTTAGTCCCACATCAGTTGTGCGCCAATTTTTTAGGCGAATATATAGTAATGTTAGCTTTCTAAACAAAGTCCCTTCTCTCGCGTGTACGACCACTCCTTGCCCCACAACCGGTTGGCCACCGGTGACGTGGAAGGGGAGTGGCGCACACGTGCCCCTATCGGTCCAAGCTAAGCCGCTCGAGCCCCTGCTCACGGCTACTCCCCGACTGAGCTTCCGACCTGCTTGCAGGCCCGGCTGGCCGGCGGGTCCCCTCTATTTTGCAATATTTTAGTTTTATTTCTTTTTCTTCATTTATCTCAAAAGTAAGACTGTAAAAATCATATAAATTTGTATAAAATCACATAATTACCCAAAAAATCACATTAATCAACTGAAAACCACTTTTCACACTTTAACACAAATATAAGTCTATTTATCACGAGTTAAGGCTAAAACTATATTATTTACTAATTATTAACTCATGATAATGAAGATTTATCACACCCCCCAACTTAAATCATTGCTAGTCCCTTAGCAATGGAATTACGAAAATAAAAATTTACAAATCTCAAACATCATATTTCAATACAGAAAGAAAAAAATACAATTAGAAATGATGCACCTTTAGACACTTTGGATTCTTATATCAAGTATTTAAGAATGATGTCAAGCACTTAAATGTTTAAACACTCCTTGGAATAACAATCTAGACTTCACTTCTTCTATTCACATCTTTATCACTTCTTCACTCATAGATATATTTATAAGATGTTCCAATTATCAATACTCATCCAAGAATAATATTGATCCTACATTTTCCTTTTTCTATGGCTTGATTTTTGAAGTTTTCACTATATTTCTTCTTTCTTTATATATAGTGGATAAGTAGCTTTTCCTGTAGATAAATTTCGACAATAAGAATGATGTCTCACACCCTCCATGTGTACTCTTCATTTTCAGGGCTTTCACTTTATCCACTTATTTTGCAGCAAGTGTTTTTCTATACACGATTTTCGACAATGAGAATAATGTCTCACACCCTCCATGTGTACTCTTCGTTTCTAGATTTTTCACATTGCTCTCTCTTTTTTTTTTCGAAATAAGTGATTTCTCCTCACAAGTCCTATAGATCAGGGTGCAAAAATCTCCATTAAACTCAAATGATCAATCAAATTTTCACATCAAGTAAATATTATCCATCAAGATCATGAAGTGAAAATCTGTAAAATCAAATCCGTGTTATCTATCATGTATCCAAGGAGTATTCCAACATTTCATGCTACTAGATCATTCTTTTGACTCAATAATAATCTTCCTAGTATCTTTTGGTATCAATCAATCTAATTGATTTAATTTTTCATGCATGCAATATGATGTAAGAAATTTGTAAATTAGATAGTTCTGACAGTTCTGTTTTCTGTTTTCAGTTCTATTTTAGCAGCAATAAATTTGTCAAAAATAAATCAAAACTATCTTCTTTATAGCTGTAATTTCGAATTTCAGTAATATATGTCTAGGGGATTGAAATGTGAGAAAAGGGTCTCTATAATTTCAAATTTTGGGTTATTTTTTCGTCTGCTGTTTTTGACAGTCTGTTGTTCCTGACAGAAAACCAGAAAATAGATGTTGCAGTTTTTCCGAATTCGGCGATCTTTTTTTTTATTTTTTTAGTTGCTGTTCTAAGTTGAATAAAATGCAAACACATGTTCTTAATCGTCCTACAGCATAAATTAATAATGAATACTTCACCCCCCAACTTAAAAATGACATTGTCCTCAATGACATAGAAAAATCGAAACAGAATATACAGAAAATATAATTTTCAAGTGAAGCATGCATATATGCAAAGTTTAGCATTAAAAATGTTTTCATAAATGATAAAGCTCCGAAAGACATCACCTCAACCTCGTTTTTAATTTTCCACTTCGTCTTACACGCCTCCTCCTGCACTTTTTCGAAAAAACAAATACAGAAACAAGTACTGCAAAATTCTAAGAAAAACAGAGCTTAAAAAAAATCAAACAAAATGAAATAAAAACCATGGGTTGCCTCCCATGCAGCGCTGAATTTAATGTCTCCAGCTAGACTCCTTGATCTTACTCTTGAATTTCTTTTAATAATAAAATTTCTTTTTCTGCAAGGTGTTCATGTTCTATGTAATGTTTAAGCCGCTGTCCATTTACCTTAAACTTATGATCACTTTTAGGATCTTTAATCATTACAGCCCCATGATCATATGTCTCTTCCACCACATAAGGCCCTTTTCATTTTGATTTTAATTTTCTTGGGAATAATTTCAGTCTAGAATCATATAACCACACTTTTTGTCCAATAAATTTTTTTCTGCTAATGTATTTATCATGAAAAGTTTTAGTTTTTTCTTTATATATTCTATGATTTTCATAAGCTTCATTCCTCAACTCCTCTAGTTCATGTAGCTGAAAAATTCTATGCCCACCAGCTGATTTTTCATCCATACATAAATTTTTTATAGCCCATAATGCTTTATGCTCTATTTCCACAAGAAGATGACATGGCTTTCCAAAAATGAGACGAAATGGGGACATACCTATGGGATTTTTATAAGCTGTTCTATAAGCCCATAATGCATCTTGTAATTTCGTGGGCCAATCTTTCCTATCTGGTCTAACTATTTTTCTCAAAATTCTCTGAATTTCCCTATTTGCTACTTCAGCTTGCCCATTTGTTTGGGGATGATATGGAGTGGCTACTCTATGATGTACTCCATTCTTTTTCAACAGTTCTCTGAAATTTTTATTTGTAAAATGTGTTCCTCCATCACTAATAATCACTCTAGGACATCCAAATCTCGAAAAAATATTTTCCTGCACAAATTTCATCACGATTTTATGATCATTAGTTCTAGTAGGAATAGCTTCCACCCACTTCGACACATAATCAACAGCAAGCAAAATATATTCATATTTTTCAGCTAATGGGAAGGGACCCATGAAATCTATTCCCCATACATCAAAAATTTCGACTACTAACATGTTACTCATGGGCATTTCATCTTTTTTACTCATGTTACCTATAGATTGGCATGAAATACATGTTCTACTAAATTCTATAGAATCTCTAATGATTGTAGGCCAATAAAAACCACACTGAAAAATTTTTGCAGCTGTTTTTCGTCTAGAGAAGTGTCCTCCACAGTTAGATGAATGGCACATGTTAATAATGCTATGGTATTCTTCTTCAGGAACACATCTCCTTAAAATTTGATCATTGCCCAAGTAATATAAATCAGGACCATGCCAAAAATAATTTCTAATCTTAGAAAAGAAATGATGTTTTCTGTTCTTATCCCACTGTTCTGGAATTTTTCCAGAAACCAGAAAATTAACAATATGTGCATATCATGGTGATGGTTGATGTTGAGCTGCCATCAATTGTTCATCTGGAAATGCGTCTTGTAAAGGTGCTGCATTTATTCCTGTGTCACTTAATCTAGAAAGATGGTCAACAACAGCATTCTCGAAACCTTTTTTATCTTTTATTTCTAAGTCAAATTCCTGCAACAATAAAATCCATCTTAATAAATGTGGCTTTGCATCTTTCTTATTTAACAGATATTTTAATGCTGCATGATCAGTATAAATAATAATTTTAGCTCCCAAAATATATGATCTAAACCTTTTTAACGAAAATACTACACCTAACAACTCTTTTTCAGTCGTGGTATAATTTAATTGAGCATCGGATATAGTTTTACTAGCATATGAAATTACTATGGGTTTTGACTCTTTTGTTTGTCCTAGAACGGCCCCCACTGCATAATTCGATGCATCACACATTATTTCAAAGGGAAGGGACCAATCAAGAGCTTGTAAAATGGGTGCCTCAGTGAGTAATCTTTTTATTTCGGAAAAAGACTCAAAATATTTCTCATCAAAATTAAAAGGCACATCTTTAGATAATAACATGGTGAGAGGTTTAGAAATCTTCGAAAAATCTTGAATAAATTTTTTGTAATAACCTACATGACCCAAGAAAGATCTAATCTGTTTTACTGAATTTGGAGGTTTCATTTTAGATATAATATCAATTTTTGCTCTATCCACCTCTAAACCCCTTTTACTCACAATATGACCCAACACAACTCCCTCTTTAACCATAAAATGTGATTTCTCCCAACTCAAAACTAATTTTTTCTCTATACATTTTTCAAGTACATGTTGTAAATGATTTAAGCATTCATCAAATGATTCACCAAAAATAGAAAAATCGTCCATAAAAATTTCCATGCATTTTCCAATCATATCAGAAAAAATAGACAGCATACATCTTTGAAATGTGGCTGGAGCATTACACAGACCAAAAGGCATGCGTTTAAAAGCAAAAGTACCAAATGGACAAGTGAAAGTTGTTTTTTCTTGATCTAAAGGGTTTATATAAATTTGATTATAACCAGAGTATCCATCCAGAAAACAAAAAAAGTTTTTTCCAACTAAGTTTTCTAGAATTTGATCAGTAAATGGTAGGGGAAAATGATCTTTTCTAGTAACTGAATTTAATTTTCTATAATCAATGCAAACCCTCCAATCGGTAGTTAATCTTGTTTGTATTTCATCCGCATTTTCGTTTTTTATAACCGTGATCCCTGATTTTTTTGGCACTACTTGTGTAGGACTAACCCATTTGCTATCTGAAATAGGATAAATAATATCAGCAGCCAGCCACTTTAAAATTTCTTTTTTTACAATTTCCATCATGTTAGGATTTAATCTTCGTTGTGGTTCCCTGCTAGTTCTGGCCCCCTCCTCTAGATATATACTATGCATGCATACACTCATATCAATGCCCCTTAGATCGTCCATTTTCCAGCCCATAGCCTTCTTATTTTTTCAAAGTACATCTAATAATTCTTCTTCCTGTTCATCACTCAAATCAGCTGCAATAATAACAGGAAATGAATTATTTTCCTCCAGAAACATATATTTTAAACTAGAGGGAAGAGGTTTCAACTCTAAATTCAGATGATCTTCCTCTTTCTTTTCTCCCAAATTTATATTCTCTATTTCCTCTAATTCTTCCAGCACACAATCATCAATAACATCTGGATCATCAAAATCATCTAGAAGATCTATGGTATGACAATCATATACTTGTGATTTCTTAAGATCATTTGGTACCTCAAAAATTTTAATTTCTACTGATTGATCTCCACATGAAATTTTCGCAATACCTGTGGGAAAATCAATATTCATCTTTGCTGTATGCAAAAATGGTCTCCCTAGGATGATTAGCGTATCATAAAACTGTCCATTAAAATCCATTTCCAGCACTACAAAATCAGCTGGAAATTTACACCCTTTAACTATCATTATCACATTTTCTAAAATACCTTTAGGATGTTTTATGGATCTATCAGCAAATTGTAAGGTAACAGTAGAAGGTTTAAGATTAGAAATATTAAATTTATCACAAATACTTGCAGGTAATAAATTAATACTAGCACCGGTGTCAAGTAATGCATTCTGAAAAATGAATCCACCAATATCACACGAAATTAAAGGGGCACCTGTATCTCTCAATTTATATGGTAATTGATTTAATAATAATGTACTAGCATGCATAGATAATTTTTCTACTCTAGGTGCCCTTTTTGGTGTACACATTTCTTTCAAAACTCTAGCATATTCAGGAATATGTTCAGTGGCAGTGAGTAAAGGAAGACTAATTTGCACATCTTGTAAAATTTTTTTTATTTCTTCATTGTGTTCCTTTTTCTTTCTTTGTCTAGGCTCGAGAGCTTTAGGAAATGGAATGGTGGTCCTCTCTTTCGAAATTTCCTTGGTAGAATCTATAAAATCCTCTTCTACTCCTATTTGATTTTGTTTTGGGTTGTCCATGTTTTCTTTTTCTTCTAATGTTTGGGGATAAGGATCAGGTAAGATCTTACCACTCCTTAATGCATTCACTGTCCTAACATTTTCATTTCGTGGGTTTTTTCCTAGATTCATATTACTAGACTCCCCTTGCTGAAATCCTATTGTTGGGCGGTTCCCTGGATTTTCTATGGGCTGACTAGGTAGCTGTCCCTCTTCTCTCTTATTCCCAAGGGCCTCTATAATTTGTTTCTAGTGCTGCATCATTTGATTCATAGTTTGTTGCATCATTTGATTCATAGTTTGTTGCATCATTTGGCTCATTTGCTGCATCATTTCCATAGTATCAGGTTGGGTTTGAGAGGGCTGATTTTTTTGAAATTTGTTTTCTTGTTTTGGACGAAATTCAGAGTTTGAATTGGGTATAAGTGCTTCTGGATTTTGAATATTATTTGGGTCTCTCCATGAAAAATTATTCCTCCAATTAGGATTATAAGAATTTGAAAAAGGTTCCCTGTTTCTATTAAAACCGTGAGCTACTTGCACTTGTTCTTGCATAGGGTGAAATGATTGATCTAAATTATAACATTGAAATTCAGAATAATCATTTTCACCATACATAGGACATGTACTATTCGAATTAAGTTGAGGGTTAAAAGGCTTTCTAATATTGTCAATAAGTAAATCAATTTTTTCTAATCTTTGATTAATCTGATTAACCTCATTTCTAAGTTTAGAATCATCATCATGATGCAATTCATAAATTCCTCTCTTCTTATCCTTGTCATATAATTCAAAAGAGGCTTGATCTCTAGAATTTTCACTTAAATTCTCATAAAGACTGTAAATCTCATCAAGAGTTTTCTCCATAAAAGCTCCTCCACATATAGAATCAACCATATTTCTATGTTGTTCTAATAATCCATCATAAAAAATTCTATTGAGCTGCCACTTGGGTATAGCATGATGAGGACACTTTCTAAGTAAATCTTTAAATTTTTCCCATGTCTCATGCAAAGTTTCTCCTGGTCTTTGAGAAAAACTCCATATATATTTTCTCATATTTTGAGTTTTTCTTAAGGGATAAAATTTTCGAAGAAAGGCCTGTTCTATATCTTTCCAACTAGTTAATTCTCTATCTAATGTGGATAGCCAATGACTAGCTTTGTCCCTAAGTGTATGAGGGAATAATTTCATCTTAATAATTTCCGGTGTAACTAGAGGGAGATTAACTAAATCACAGACCATATGAAATTTTTCTAAGTGCTGATGAGGTTCCTCTAAAGGCAATCCATGAAAATTAGGGAGCATTTGAAAAATTCCTGGATTTATTTCGAATTTAACAGTGGGTGCTAATGGGACTCTAATATTGGATGCTCTTTGAAATGAATCAGGGATATAATGATTTTTCATGGCCATAGGATTGTTCTCAGTTTGACCTATACTTCCTTCAGGATCCATCAAAATTAATTTTTCTTTCGGATTTTTATTTTTCAATGAAATAATGAAAGGATTTTCTAGCCTTGAATGGAAGGATCTTCTACCATGCATAAAAATCAATAAATTTGAGGGAAAAAGTTAGTAACTGTTACCCTCCTTCAGGATGCTCCAGTCCTTGCCGTGCTTCTTTTCGTTCCCTTTTTCTAATAAAAATTGGCAAAAAGAATATAAAACAAGAGTTAAGTTTTTTTTTGTGTACTCTAAGAGAAAAATAGAAAAATACTAAATATTATGCAATACATCCCCGGCAACGGCACCAAAATTTGACGTGACTCAGTCGTTGTATATTAAATCACGCACATATAAAATTTATAAAACTAGAAAATATGAATTTTTGGATATTTAGAAGTATTTCTGAATAAATATATCAATTATAATTCAATAAAACTTCCAAAAATAGCGGTAATTTTCCAGGTCGATCACAGGGATGTAATATAATATATGGTAATTATTCAGAATTTTCCTCAATGAATACGATTTTCTATGAATTGTATACTAGGAAATAAAAAGGAAATATATTTAAAATTCACAAAAAAGGGAAATAAGGGTGCGGACGTCAGGATGACGTCAGCGCCCGGCGAACGCGAATCGAGCGGAAACAGAGTTCCGGTCGGCGATTCTTACGTAAGCGATTACAAATGATTTAATTAATCAAATTAAGATCTGTAAAAGTCAGAAGAATCGTAATAAAACAAAGTATATATTGGTAAATTAAAATCACAAAAAGTATCACTAAATGAAGCGTAACGTAAGTTGAAAGTAGGAAAACAGAGTTCCGACGTCGCGACGGCGATGCGTCGGCGATGCACCGGAATCCTAAGCGTTCGGCAAGATCGTCATGCAGTGTCCACAGCCTCAAAGGCTCTCCTTGGACAAAGATGACGTGGGCAATCTCTAGATCTCCTTTTGAAGTCTAGAAATCAATGGAATGGGTCGTCGAGTCGTCTCCGGCGGCTGTCACCCGGCGGAGTGGAAAAACGGCGACTTTGCAGCTCTCCGGCGGCTGTCACACGACGGAGAGGAGCTGGATGGAGGTGGGGCGCGTATCAGGGAGCTTCATCCTTAGGTCCGCGCATCAAGAAGAGGCTCTTCATCGCATCTGGTACGCTCTCAGGAGGTGGCGACTCGTCTCCCGACGGATCGTCCTCTTCCTAACGACGGCTTGTTCGTCGATCAATGGGAGATGATTTACTCGATGGATTCGCGATCCTTTTATCGCAAATCGTTTAGCAATTTTAGTAGCAATGCTCCGCGAATCACATTGACGAGATTTTCGCCGATGATCCAGTGATTCTCGTTGCTTAATCCTTCACCAACGATCTGTAGGAAAGTCATGATAATCAGATAAAAATATATGAATTTTGACTCTAGGAGGATTCGAACCCGCGCCGGTTGTCCGCCCTTTCTGAGGAAGGTGTGACGTGGGTTTAGTCCCACATCGGTTGTGCGCTAATTTTTCGAGCGAATATATAGTAATGTTAGCTTTCTAAGCAAAGTCCCTTCTCTCGCGTGTATGACCACTCCTTGCCCCACAGTCGGCTGGCCACCGGTACGTGGAAGGGGAGTGGTGCACACGTGCCCCTATCAGTCCAAGCCGCTCGAGCCCCTGCTTGCGGCTACTCCCCGACTGAGCTTCTGACCCGCATGCGGGCCCGGCTGGCCGGCGGGTCCCCCCATTTTGCAATATTTTAGTTTTATTTCTTTTTCTTCATTTATCTCAAAAGTAAGATTGTAAAAATCATATAAATTCGTATAAAATCACATAATTACCCAAAAAATCACATTAATCAACTGAAAACCACTTTTCACACTTTAACATAAACATAAGTCTATTTATCACGAGTTAAGGTTAAAACTATATTATTTACTAATTATTAACTCATGATAATGAAGACTTATCAGTATCCAAGGAGTATTCCAACATTTCATGCTACTAGATCATTCTTTTGACTCAATAATAATCTTCCTAGTATCTTTTGGTATGAATCAATCTAATTGATTTAATTTTTCATGCATGCAATATAATGTAAGAAATTTGTAAATTAGATAGTTCTGACAGTTCTGTTTTCTATTTTCAGTTCTATTTTTAGCAGCAATAAATTTGTCAAAAATAAATCAAAACTATCTTCTTTATAGCTGTAATTTCTAATTTCAGTAATATATGTCTAGGGGATTGAAATGTGAGAAAAGGGTCTCTATAATTTCAAATTTCAGGTTGTTTTTTCGTCTATTGTTTTTGACAGTCTGTTGTTCCTGACAGAAAACCAGAAAATAGATGTTGCAGTTTTTCCGAATTTTATTTTATTTTTATTTTTTTAGTTGCTGTTCTAAGTTGAATAAAATGCAAACACATGTTCTTAATCATCTTACAGCATAAATTAATAATGAATACTTCACCCCCCAACTTAAAAATGACATTGTCCTCAATGACACAGAAAAATCGAAACAGAATATGCAGGAAATATAATTTTCATGTGAAGCATGCATATATGCAAAGTTAAGCATTAAAAAATTGTCATAAATGATAACGCTCCGAAAGACATCACCTCAACCTCGTTTTTAATTTTCCACTTCGTCTTACACGCCTCCTCCTGCACTTTTTCGAAAAAACAAATACAGAAACAAGTACTGCGAAATTCTAAGAAAAACAGAGCTTAAAAAAATCAAACAAAATAAAATAAAAACCATGGGTTGCCTCCCATGCAGTGCTGAATTTAATGTCTTCAGCTGGACAGCTCTTAGATCATATAAGATGATCTATGGCCATCAAAATATATTTGTATCCCAAGGTAAGTTTCATGATATTCTTTTTCAGATTTAGCATAAATTCATATACTTCATATATATACCTTGACATACTTTCAGCCAAAAAAAAATGGAAATTAACAAAATTTTCTGAAAAAAAATATTTCCATTTTGAAAAGAATCTTTTCTCATTTCTATCTTGTTTTGTAAGGCTGTCATTCATTAATAAATACTTTTTATTAATAGACCATAAAATGTGATCAGGCCATATAATTTTCAAATTAACTCTTACCCAATCTAGAAATTTTTCATCTAAATTGATATCTTTAATTCTTCCATTCATCCATTTCTTAATGTCTTCTTTTATCTTCATAATCTTCCCCTGCTCTATTTCATCTTCCATACATATTTGTTCAATTTGTGAAGAGTGAAATAATTCAAGCTTAGAAGTAATTCTAATGGGCTGTGGGTTTTGAAGGATGGAAGGATTGTCTTCTTTAATCTCAGATCTAATCAATTCAGTAAAATTCAAATTTTCTCTTCGAAAATTATCTCTATATTCATATTCATTATTTTCGTTTCTCCCCACTAGTTGAATCAACTCTTTTTCTAGCTTTTCGTTTCTCAACTCATCAAATTTTTCATCTTCATAAGAGCTATCTTTTAATTTCGGTATATGATATACATCATCATCCTCACAATCAACATCCATGGCTACAAAATTATGATTAGATTTATTAATTACGTCTCCCAAATCAACTGATTTTTCCTCACTTGAAATATGTTTTTCTTCATTTTTGTCCTTACTCTTTTCTACTAAAATTTGGATGATTTTTCCATGATCAGCTGCTGTTTCTTCATCTAAGGGTTCTTTCTCCTCATCATCCTCACTATATTCATTCATCAATTGTGAGCAATAAATTATTTTATTTAAATTTTCTGCTACTATATTTTCAGCCTTAATATTCTCATTTACTTCTAATAGCTCATCAATTTCTTCTAATAATTGGAAATAAGGATCAGGTAAAATATTCTCACTCAATGTATTCACTGACCTAAAATTTTCATTTCGTGGGTTTTTTTCTAAATTTATCCAGCTAGACTCTCCTTGTTGAAATCTTACTATTAGACAGTTTCCTAAATTTTCTATGGGCTGACTAGGTAGCTGTCCCTCTTCTCTCTTATTCCCAAGAGCCTCTATAATTTGTTTCTGGTGCAGCATCATTTGATTCATAGTTTGTTGCATCATTTGGCTCATAGTTTGTTGCATCATTTGGCTCATTTGCTACATCATTTCTATAATATCAGGTTGGGTTTGAGAGGGCTGATTTTTCTGAAATCAGTTTTCTTGTTTTGGACGAAATTCAGAGTTTGAATTGGATCTAAGTGCTTCTGGATTTTGAATATTATTTGGGTGTCTCCACGAAAAATTATTTCCCCAATTAGGATTATAAGAATTAGAAAAATATTCTCTATTTTTACTAAAATCGTGGGGTATTTGCCCTTGTTCTTGCCTATGATGATATTGAAATTCGAAATGATCATTTTCACCATACATAGGATATGTACTATTTGAATTAAATTGAGGGTTAAGAGGTTTTTTAATATTGTCAATAAGTAAATCAAGTTTTTCTAATCTTTGATTAATCTGATTAACCTCATTTCTAAATTTAGAATCATCATCATGATGCAATTCATAAATTTCTCTCTTCTTATCCGTGTCATATAATTCAAAAGAGGCTTGATCTCTAGAATTTTCACTTAAATTCTCATAAAGACTATAAATCTCATCAAGGGTTTTCTCCATAAAAGCTCCTCCACATATAGAATCAACCATATTTCTATGTTGTTCTAATAATCCATCATAAAAAATTCTATTGAGCTACCACTTGGGTATAGCATGATGAGGACACTTTCTAAGTAAATCTTTGAATTTTTCCCACGTCTCATGCAAAGTTTCTCTTGGTCTTTGAGAAAAACTCCATATATATTTTCTCATATTTTGAGTTTTTTCTAAGGGATAAAATTTTTGAAGAAAGGCCTGTTCTATATCTTTCTAGCTAGTTAATTCTCTATCTAACGTGGATAGCCAATGGCTAGCTTTGTCCCTAAGCGTATGAGGAAATAATTTCATCTTAATAATTTCTGGTGTAACTTGAGGGAGATTAACTAAATCACAGACCATATGAAATTTTTCTAACTATTAATGAGGCTCCTCTAAAGGCAATTCATGAAAATTAAGGAGCATTTGAAAATTCTTGGATTTATTTCGAATTTAACGGTGGGTGCTAATGAGACTCTAATATTTGATGCTCTTTGAAATGAATCAGGGATATAATGATTTTTCATGGCCATAGGATTGTTCTCAGTTTGACTTGTACTTCCTTTAGGATCCATCAAAATTATTTTTTCTTTCGAATTTTTAGTCTTGAATGAAATAATGAAAGGATTTTCTAGCCTTGGATGCAAGGATCTTCTACCATGCATAAAAAAATCAATAAATTCGAGGGAAAAGTTTAGTAATTGTGACCCTCCTTCAGTATGCTCCAGTCTTTGCCTTGTTTCTTTTCGTTCCCTTTTTCTAAAAAAAAAAAAAAAAAAATCGACAAGAAGAAAATAAAACAAGAGTTAAGTTTTTTTTTGTGTACTCTAAGAGAAAAACAAAAAAATACTAAATATTATGCAATACATCCCCGGCAACGGTGCCAAAATTTGACATGACTCAGTCATTGTATATTAAATCACGCAAATATAAGATTTATAAAACTAGAAAATACGAATTTTTGGATATTTAGAAGTATTTCTTAATAAATATATCAATTATAATTCCATAAAACTTCCAAAAATAGCAATAATTTTCCAGGTTGATCACAGGGATGTAATATAATATCTGGTAATTATTCAGAATTTTCCTCAAAGAATACTATTTTCTATGAATTTTATACTAAGAAATGAAAAGGAAATATATTTTAAATTCACAAAAAAAAGGAAATAAGGGTCCGGACGTCAGGATGATGTCAGCGCTCGACGAACATGAATCGGGCGGAAACAGAGTTCCGCCCGGTGATTCTTACGTAAGCGATTACATATGATTTAATTAATCAAATTAAGATCTGTAAAAGTCAGAAGAATCGTAATAAAACAAAGTATATTTTGGTAAATTTAAAATCAACAAATTATCACTAAATGAAATGGAAATTAAGTTGAAAGCAGGAAAATAGAGTTCCGACATCGCGACGGCGATGCGTCGGCGATGCACCGGAATCCTAAGCGTTCGGCAAGATCGTCATGCAGTGTCCACAGCCTCAAAGGCTCTCCTTGGACAAAGACGACGTGGGCAATCTCTAGATCTCCTTTTGAAGTCTAGAAATCAATGGAATGGGTCGTCGAGTCGTCTCCGGCGGTTGTCACCTGGCAGAGCAGAAAAACGGCAACTTTGCGGCTCTCTGGCGGCTGTCACACGACGGAAAGGAGCTGGATGGAGGTGGGGTGGGTGTCAAGGAGCTTCATCCTCAGGTCTACGCAGCAAGAGGAGGCTCTTCATCGCATCTGGTACGCTCTCAGGAGGTGGCGACTCATCTCCCGACGGATCGTCCTCTTCCCGACGACGGCTTGTTCGTCGATCAATCGGAGATGATTTACTCGATGGATTCGCGATCCTTTTATCGCGAATCGTTTAGCAATTTTAGTAGTAATGCTCCGCGAATCGCGTTGACGAGATTTTCGCCGATGATCCAGTGATTCTCGTTGCTTAATCCTTCACCAACGATCTGTAGGAAAGTCATGATAATCAGATAAAAATATATGAATTTTGACTCTAGGAGGATTCGAACCCGCGCCGGTTGTCCGCCCCTTCTGAGGAAGGTGTGACACGGGTTTAGTCCCACATCGGTTGTGCGCCGATTTTTCGGGCGAATATATAGTAATGTTAACTTTCTAAGCAAAGTTCCTTCTCTCGCGTGTACGACCACTCCTTGCCCCACAGCCGGCTGGCCACTGGTGACGTGGAAGGGGAGTGGCGCACACAAGCCCCTATCGGTCCAAGCTGCTCGAGCCCCTGCTCGCGGCTACTCCCCGATTGAGCTTCCGACCCGCTTGCAGGCCCGGCTGGCCGACGGGTCCCCCCCTCATTTTGTCTTATTTTTATTTCTTTTTCTTCATTTATCTCAAAAGTAAGACTGTAAAAATTATATAAATTCGTATAAAATCACATAATTACCCAAAAAATCACATTAATCAATTGAAAACCACTTTTCACACTTTAACACAAATATAAGTCTATTTATCACGAGTTAAGGCTAAAACTATATTATTTACTAATTATTAACTCATGATAATGAAAACTTATCACCTATTATTATATTATCAAGCCTTACATCAGAACAAGAGAAAAAACTCATGCATGTATTGAAGGAAAATAGGGCAGTAATAGGATGGTCATTTGATGATATAAAGAGAGTACCTCCTATGATGTCTGAGTGATGTGACCTAGTCGTTGTATAGTAATCACGTAAATTTAAAATTTATAAAACTAGAAAATATAAATTTTTGGATATTTAGAAGTATTTCTAAAAAAATATATCAATTATAATTCAAGAAAACTTCCAAAAATAGTAGTAATTTTTCAGGTCAATCATAGGGATGTAATATAATATCGGATAATTGTCAGAATTTTTCTCAAAGAATACAAGTTTTTTATGAATTTTATACTAAGAAATGAAAATAAAATATATTTAAAATTCAGAAAAAAGAAAAATAAGGGTACGGACATCAAGATGACGTTAGTGCTTGACGAATACGAATTAGGCGAAGATAAAGTTCCACCTGACGATTCTTACATAAGTGATTATAGGCGATTTAATTGATCAAATTAAGTTGTTTCCATCCGACGATTCTTAATTGAATGAAGTGTAGCTTGGTAAATTTAAATCACATAAATTATCACTAAATAAAGTAGAAATTAAGTTGAAAGTAGGAAAAACAAAGTTTTGACGTCACGGCGGTGATACGTCGGTGATGCACCAAAATCTTGAGCGTTCGGAAAGATCGTCGTGCAGTGTCCATGGCCTCGAAGGCTCTCTTTGGACAAGGACGACATGGGCAATCTCTAGATCTCCTTGCGAAGCCTGGAGATCAATGAAATGGCTCGTCGAATTGTCTCTAGCGGCTGTCACCCGGTGGAATGGAAAAATGGCAACTTTGTGGCTCTCCAGTGATTATTGCCCGGCAGAGAAGAGCTGGATGAAAGTGGGGCGCAGGTCAGGGAGCTTCATCCTCAGGCCCGCGCAGCAAGAGTAGGCTCTTTGTCGCATCTGATACCCTCTTAGGAGGTGGCGACTCGTCTCCTAGCAGATTGTCTTCTTCTCGACGACGGCTTGTTCGTCGATCAATCAAAGATCATTTACTCAATAGATTTACAATTCCTTTATTGTGAATCATTTAACAATTTTAGTAACAATGCTTTGCAAATTGCGTTGACGAAATTTTTGCCGATGATCCAACGATTCTGACAGCTTAATCCTTCACCAGCGATCTACAGGAAAGTCGCAATAATCAAATAAAAATATGAGTTTTGGCTCTAGGAGGATTCGAATCCGCGCTGGTTGCTCGCCTGCATGATAGAGATTGAAATAAGTACTCTAATGCTCTGATCAAGTGACATCATCATGGTATATTTCTAGTATAATAAAGGAGTAGTTTAGGTATTAAAATCTTTGAAGCCTTTCGGAGGAAGGTGTGACACGGGTTTAATCCCACATCACTGGTACACTGAAGTTTTGGACGAATATATAGTAATATCACATTTTCAAGCAATGAGTCCCTTTCTCTTGCCTGTACGACCACTTCTTGTCTCATAGCCGGCTGACCACTAGTGACGTGGAAGGGGAGTGGCACACACGGGCCCCCATCAGTCCTAGTCGCTCAAGTCCCTACTCACAGCTCCCTTCAATTGCACTTCCGACCCGCTTGCAAGACTAGCTAATTGACGGGTCCCCCCCATTTGTTATATTTTTATTTTAATTTCTTTTTCTTTAACTATCACAAAAATAAGACTATAAAAATCATATAAATTCGTAGAAAATCACATAATTAGCCAAAAAATCACGTTAATCAACTAAAAACCATTTTTCATAATTTAGCATAAATATAAGTTTATTTATCATAATTTAAGGCTAAAACTATATTAGTTACTAATTATTAACTCATGATAATAAAGACTTATCAGTGAGCATAAGATATTTTTAGAAGAAGGCTCTAAGCCATCAAGAGAAAATCAAAGGCACTTAAATCCTCATATGTTAAAAGTGTTAAATAAAGAAATATTGAAATGACTTAAAGTGGATGTGATATATGCAATCTTGGACAACTCTTGGTTAAGTCTAGTCCACATGGTACCAAAGAAGACTTGCATAATAGTGGAAAAAAATGATAAAGCAGAAGAAGTGCAAGCCACCAGTTGGAGAGTATGTTTAGATCATAAGAAACTAAATTTAGTAACTAAAAAAGATCATTATCCTTCACCTTTATAACTGATTAAATTTTGAAAAAATTAACTGGTTAAAATTATTTATATTTTCTTGATGGTTATTCAAGGTATAATCAAATTAATATTCATGTGGATGACCAAGAGAAGACCGCTTTTACATGTCCAATAGGAACATGTGCTTTTAGACGAATGCAATTTAGTCTTTGTAATGCTCCTGCTACGTTTCAAAGATATATGAACGCCATGTTGATAAGTCTTCATTATCATGAGTTAATAATTAGTAAATAATATAGTTTTAGCCTTAACTCATGATAAATAGACTTATATTTGTGTTAAAGTGTGAAAAGTGGTTTTCAGTTGATTAATGTGAATTTTTAGGTAATTATGTAATTTTATATGAATTTATATAATTTTTAAAGTCTTCTTTTGAGATCAATGAAGAAAAAGAAATAAAAATAAGACAAAATGAGGGGGGGACCCGCTGGCAAACTAGGCCCGCAAGCGAGTCTGAAGCTTAGTCGGGGAGTAGCCGCGAGCAGGGGCTCAAGCGGCTTGGACCGATAGGGGCTTGTGTGCACCACTCCCCTTCCACGTCACTAGTGGCCAGCCGGCTGTGGGGCAAGGAGTGGTCGTACACGCGAGAGAAGGAACTTTGCTTAGAAAGCTAACATTACTCTATATTCGCCCGAAAAATCGGCGCACAACCGATGTGGGACTAAACCCGTGTCACACCTTCCTCAAAAGGGGCGGACAACCGGCGCGGGTTCGAATCCTCCTAGACTCAAAATTCATATATTTTTATCTGATTTTCGCAACTTTCCTACAGATGACCGGTGAAGAATTAAGCAACGAGAATCGCTAGATCATCGGCGAAAATCTCGTCAACGCGATTCACAGAGCATTGCTACTAAAATTGCTGAACGATTCACGATAAAAGGATCGTGAATCTATCGAGTAAATCATCTCCGATTGATCAACGAACAAATCGTCGTCAGGAAGAGGACGATCTGCCGGGAGACGAGTCGCCACCTCCTGAGAGCGTACTAGATGTGATGAAGAGCCTCCTCTTGCTGCGCGGACCTGAGGATGAAGCTCCTTGACACGCGCCCCACCTCCATCCAGCTCCTCTCCGTTGGGTGACAGCCGCCGGAGAGCCGCAAAGTCGCCGTTTTTCCGCTTCGCCGGGTGACAGCCACCGGAGATGACTCGACGACCCATTTCATTAATCTCTAGACTTCGCGAGAAGATCTAGAGATTGCCCACATCGTCTTTGTCCAAGGAGAGCCTTCGAGGCTGTGGACACTACACGACAATCCTCCCGAACGCTCAGGATTCCGATGCATCGCCGACGCATTGCTGTCGCGACGCCGGAACTCTGTTTTCCTACTTTCAACTTAATTTCCGTTTCATTTAGTGATAATTTGTTGATTTTAAATTTACCAACATATACTTCATTTCATTACGATTCTTTCGTCTTTTACAGATCTTAATTTGATCAATTAAATCGTTTGTAATCGCTTATGTAAGAATCACCAGGCAGAACTCTGTTTCCGCCCGATTCACGTTCACCGGCGCTGACATCATCCTGACGCCCGCACCCTTATTTCCTTTTTTCATGAATTTAAAATATATTTCCTTTTCATTTCTTAGTATAAAATTCATATAAAATATTATTCTCTGATGAAAATTCTGAATAATTACCAGATATTATATTACATCCCTGTGATTGACCTAGAAAATTACTACTATTTTTGGAAGTTTTATTGAATTATAATTGATATATTTGTTCAGAAATACTTCTAAATATCCAAAAATTCGTATTTTCTAGTTTTATAAATTTTATATTTGTGTGATTTAATATACAACGACTAAGTCACGTCACATGTTTACCGAATTAGTGGGCGATAGATTGGAAATTTTCATGGATGATTTTTCAATTTTTGATGCATCATTTGCGATGTGTTTATTTAATCTAACATAGGTTCTACAAATATGTATCCAAAATAATCTTATATTAAGTGGGAAAAATCTCATTTTATGGTGCAAGAAGGAATAGTGTTAGGACATCGAGTCAATAAGCATGGGCTGAAGGTAGGCAAGGCCAAAATCAAAGTGATCAAGCATCTACCTCTTCCCAGCAATTTAAAAGAACTTAGAGGGTTCATTGGCCATGCAAGCTTCTATAGGAGATTCATTAAATATTTTGTAAATATTTCTAAACCCTTAACTAATCTCTTGCCTAAAGATGTCAATTTTATTATTGATAGTGATATTAGGATTGCTTTTAACCAAATTAAAGATGCACTCATTCAAGCTCCTATTTTGCGGGCCCCTGATTGGAGCTTGCCTTTTGAGCTAATGTGTGATGCATTGGATTTTGTGGTGGGAGCAGTCCTAAGCCAAAAAATCGACAAGTGAGCGGCCATCTATTACGCTAGTAAGACCTTGGTGGATGCTTAGGTGAATTATTCAATTACTAAAAAGGAATTACTAGCCATTATTTTTCCTTTAGAAAATATTGGGTCTTATTTATTAGGTAGTAAGATTGTTATTTTTTTCTGATCATACAACTTCAAAGTTTTTACTTAGAAAGAAAGAGGCTAAACCTAGGCTTATTAGGTGGATACTTTCATTATAGGAATTTGATATTGAGATATAGGATATGAAGGAAAGTGAAAATATAGCAGCTGATCATTTATTGAGGATGATTGTAGCGGATTCACAACCCATTAGTGATTCCTTTCTTGATGAACATATTTTTTAAGTTCAAGTTAGGAAAATTCCTTGGTATGCACACATAGTGAATTATCTTGCTATAGGAATGTTGCCTTTAAATTGGGACTATAATGAGAGAAACAAATTCTTCAAAACATTATCACATTATTACTGAGAAGAACCTGAATTATTTTATTTAAGAGTTGATCAGATTTTGAGGAGATTTGTACCCAAAGAGGAGCAAGGAAAAAGTTGAGTTTTTTCATTCATCACCATTTGGAGACCATTATTCTTCTAAAATTAAAGCTTCAAAGGTCTTACAATGTGGGTTTTATTAGCCAACTTTATTTAGAGATTTTTATGATTTTTATTTAATATGTTTAAGATGTCAAGCAGCCATTAGTTTGAGTAAGAAAGATCATATGTCCCTTAAGTCAATTTTAGAAGCAGAGATATTTGATTATGAGAAATTGATTTCATGAGGCCTTTCTCAAATTCAGAGGGATATGAATACATTTTGATGTTAATAGATTATGTGTCTCGTTAGGTAGAAGTAATTCCTACTAAAACTAATGATAGAAAGGTAGTAGTTAAGTGTATTGAGTAACATGTTTTCTCAAGGATTGAGTGTCCTAGGGCTATCATTAGTGATGGAGGATCACATTTTAACAACTATCAATTTAAGACCCTATTGAAAAGATATGGAGTTCATTATAGGATAACTACACCTTATCATCCACAAGCCATTGGACAAGTAGGAGTGTATAATAGAAAGATTAAAAAAATTCTATAAACAAATCTGTAGGCTTGATGGAAAGGATTGATCTAGGAGATTATATGATGCTCTATGGGCATATAGGAGAGCATTTGGAACTCCTTTAGGCATGTCGCCATATAGATTAATTTTTGGTAAGGTATGTCACCTTTCGGTAAAACAAGAGCATAGAGTATATTGGGTAATTAAAAAATTCAATTTATCTATTGATGATGCTGGAAAGAAATGATTACATGAATTGCATGAGTTTAATGAGATTCGAAATGAGGCATATAAGAATTCTAAGATTTATAAAGCTAAAATGAAAGTATTTCATGATAAACAATTAAGAAGAAGAGAATTCAAAGAAAATCAAAAAGTATAGCTTTATAATTCGAGATTCAAACTCTTTCTTGGTAAGTTAAAATCTAGATGAGATGGTCTATTTATTATTATTAAAATCTTTGAATGTGATGCTATTTTAATTGAGGATCCAAAACTAGGACAGCAAATAAAAGTGAATAGACAAAGATAGACATGGATGTGAAAATGTGGTTGTAGATCATTTATCTAGATTACAAATCAAATCACATGTATCTATCATAGACTCATTTGTGGATGAGCAAATTTTAAGAATTCAAGATAGAAAAATACCTAAGTATCCACATATAGTGAATTATCTTGCCACATGCCAACTACCAAATGAATGAAATTTTAGTGACAAAAGAAAGTTTTTCAAAGATATCCAATATTATTTTTGGGAAGAGCCTAAGTTATTTCATTTGAAAGTTGATCATATCCTTAGAAAGTGTGTACTTAATGAAGAGCAATGAAAATTTTTAAAATCTTGTCACTCTTCATTGTTTGGTGGTCATTTTCCCCCAAAAATTACTACTTCCATGATATTACAATGTGGTTTTTTTTGGTCTAGCTTGTTTAAATATGTTTTTGAGTACTACAAAGATTATTTGAAGTGTCAAGCTGCAGTGAATTTGCGGAAGAGAGATCATATGCCACTACAGCCGATTATAGAAGTAAAGATATTCAATTTATGGGAAATCAATTTTATGGGGCCCTTTTCATCTTTTGAAGGCTATGAATATATTTTGATAGGAGTGGGTTATGTTTCTCAATGGGTAGAAGTAATTCCTACTAGATCTAATGATCACAAAGTGGTAGTGAAATTTATTGTGCAGAATATTTTTGTGAGATCTGGGTGTCCTAGGGCGATTATTAGTGAAAAAGTAACCAACTTCAACAACTCTCATTTTTGGAATTTACTGAAAAAGTATGAAGTCCACCATAGAATGACGACTCCTTATCACCCTCAAGTTAAATGGCCAAGTAGAGGTGAGTAATAGGGAGATTAAGAAAATATTAAAGAAGATTATTAGACCTGATGGGAAAGATTGGTCAAGTAGATTGTACGATGCCTTATGGGCCTATATAACTGCTTATAAAACACCCATAGGGATGTCACCTTATAGGATAGCATATGGGAAAACTTGTCACCTTCTTGTGGAAATCGAATATAAGGCTTATTGGGCTATATGAAAACTTAATCTCTCTTTAGATGCAACAAGTGAGAACCATATGTTGCAACTGCAAGAGCTTTAAGAATTGCAAAATGAGGCATATGAGAACTCCCTAATTTATAAAGCAAAAATGAGGGCTTTTCATGACAAGAATGTGAGTAGAAGGAATTTTCATGAGAATCAAAAAGTTTGGCTTTATAATTCTTGATTGAAATTATTTCTAGGGAAATTGACATCTAGATGGGATGGACCATACCTTATGATTAAAGTTTTTGACTGTGGCGCAGTATTAATTGCAGATCCAAAAATTGATCAAAATTTTAAAGTGAATGGGCAAATAAACCTTATTAGACAAATCTCCCTTCTTTACCCGTTTCCACTCAATTGTACGATCCATCTATTGAACCTCAACCTTCTTAGAACTTCTCGTCCCAATAATTCTATCGATCAAGTACTCTAAGATGGTGTAGCTTTCCTTTCCACTATATTTCTTTCCTATTATTTTTCTCTATCCTTTAATGTTTTTCTTGAGTTTTTATTAAGCGGACAGATCAAGCATTCCAGAGGAAGCACATATCGTGACATGGATTAGTACAAAAGGAAATTGAAAGATGAATAGTGAAGCACTCACTCTCGATTTGCATATTTAATGCTTTCTCTTTTTTCTCTTATATAGATGCATTAGGGACAATGCGTATGGTAGTTTGGGGGGGAAGCATAAATGCATGAGGATGAGTACATGAGATTACACCAGGTGCTATAATGCTTATAACCAGATGACGAGGTTCATGACCTTTCATGGTGCATATAGCCCACACTCTTAAATTTAGAAAATCTACCTTGATCTCCAGCTGAATTTATGTTTATGAATTTCTATTTTCATCTGTGAGTAGTGAATTGAATCCTTCTGTATCTTGATCAGCAGTTGGCTGAAAAGTTTTTGAATTAGTTGATGCGTCTTCAAGTCATTAATCATGATTAAACTTGGGGCAAAAGGGCAGAACATTGTAAAGATTACACTAGTTAAAAAAAAAATGCTTAGCTGATTTCGTCGAGTTTCCACATGTGAGATTAGAATTAGCAAGGCTTGCAAAATACCTATTGTAACCATGCAAAGTGAAGGCCCGGAAGCATACAATCAAGGGGCTTTCCCCATTGTCCCATGGGGCTTCCACATGTGAGATTAGGATAGACAAGAAAGGTCAAAGAGAAAAGCTACCAGCATGAAATAAAATAATAATAATAATAAAAGCAATAAAAACTATCTGGTTTAATCTAGCTATGTAAACCTTAATGTACTCAGGAAATCATGACATGATTTCAAGAGTAGAAATTGATTTCGGAGCTTAGTAAATTGGGAAGTACTAGATAGATGAAATGTTTAACCTTTGTCAAAAGAAAAATTAGGAATTCGTGGACATAGACATAGTTTTTGATTGCTGTAATTTGTGAAGTATATTTTCAGGCTCATAAAAAATTAGGAAGTTTAAGATCATATTCATTTTCATACCATTGCTAAGGGACTAGCAATGGGCTAAGTTGGGGGGTGTGATAACATGATAATTATAGTGATAATATCTATGATTTCATATGCTTTTGAGCTCAAAAGTTTGCCAAGATCATGTTAGTGACTATGAATATGAGTAATGATTCCTTACTTATAAGCTCTCATGGAAAATATGTTGATATATATATATATATGAATTTCATGATTACTATTGAATTATTAATGATATTTTCTTATGACTAACCTGTTTGATTTTTTGGAAGTCAATTAGTGTTATTATTGATTAATATTTTTTAGCATGTGATGTGCAAGAATCAGGCGAATCTAATTAAGTGGTCAATTTGAGGGCTTGAAGGCTATCAGGGTGAAAGTAAGAGGTCATGCAACACATTGTGGGCCAAGAAAGGCCTGAAGGAGGAGAGTGGAGCACGCGTAACCTGTTCCAGCCCAATATCTCCTCAACTTCCCTCTCTAAGATGGGCCATGAACTCTAGATATCACGGGCGCTCAAGTGAAGGAAGGAGAGGGTCATGGAAAGAAAATAGGAACGGGAGAAGGTTCTTTTGTGAAATGCATCACTATGTTTCTCCTAGGATCCAAGTTGATAAACCTGAACATAAGTGATTTATTGTGAATTTTGTTCTTGATTCTGGATGTGTGTTCTTGTTGGAGAAAACCGCCTAGTCTAGGCGAAATATCCAAACTCAAGGTACGCACTTCAGGTCACGAGGTTTGCATTTCATCTCCTGCTATCCAATAAAATGATTACCCTCATCTACATTGCTATTTCTCAGGAAATTGAACCATAGTTTGACCGTCCCTTGTGAGGTCGTGGAGATCTTGACCTTTGTAAGAGGATCAAGATCTCTTTGAGCCTCTCATCTCTCGTCCGCTTCTTTTCCCTCAAATTGCTCTTTTAAGTTTTAAGTAGGAGCATCTAAAACATTTCTCAATTCTCGTTCTTCCATTATTCTTCCTCTAATTCTATCTCTTCAGCCTTTACCTATCTTTAAACTTAAACAATATTAAGAATATAAATCCCAATTCCTTGAGGATCGACCCCTTACTTGCCTTATCCTTATAAGAGAATAGATAAGTAGAGGAGAAATAAATATAAATATTATGTATAAACTCAAAACAGAACAACAACTACACAACCTTAAAATGAGTTTATTAGTATCACATGATTCAAAAAAAAAAGAAAAAAAGTTAGAAATGAATAGAAATATTCGTCCTCTCAAGTTTCACTCTGGATATTATTTCTTGATTCTTGATGCACTATGATGAACTCAATTTAGAGGTACTCATATGTTGTCGTGATGCCACTAAGTTCATGCAAATAATATTTATAAAACATCACTCTTTTGTTTAGGATAAGTAAGGATCGATCTTCAAAGAGCGTGGGTAATGAGAGTAAAAATTTTACTTATCTTATTTCTTATATATATATACTTGAGATTGTGAAGGCCAGAATTAATCTGACAAGGATAAAGACAAGAGAAATAAAAAGTATAGTAAAGAAGAGAAAATAGATCTAACACAATGAAATGATAGAATAAATGGTAAACTAATTCGAACTAAGAGTTAATCTATCTATAGAGAAAATTACAAGGATGTCTCAAATCTAGATCTTGCACAAACCTCATTGTGCGTCAGTCCTAGGCTGAGTGATGCTTGATCCATGATGATCTTGATGTGTTCCAGATAATCTCTTCTCCACGATGATCTTGAACACAAAAATGTCGTTGAATAAGCCTTAATTTCTCTCCTATTTTCTTCGACTAACCACTATTAGATAGAGAATCAAAAAGCGTCCTCCAAGAGGGGGGTGAGATGTCTTAATCCTCTCAAGAATTCTCTTGGTTGATGGCCCAAATTCTTTCATAAGAGCAACACTCTAATCCTTCTCTTAAGCTCATCTTAAGACACTCTAAGATGGATGACCTAGATCTCATCTCTTGATAACTCTTTCAAGTTCAAATGAGCTTTGCCCAAGGTGACACCCTTTCTTGGACCCATAAATATATTAGGTTGACCCTCTCCATAAGACTTGGGTTTTTCCTTAGGCTGAAAGCCTTGGCTTCTTCCATTACTTCCAACACATAATAAGAGCTCACCTAAGTACTTACAATCAAATAATTATCAAGAAAATATGAAAGAATCATCACTTGACTTTATAAAAGTTAAGTGGGGTCAATCTCATAATATAAATAAAATAATATACATTAAGACTTAAATGATGAAACAATATGAATGTCATAATGAGTTGGTAATACATGTATAATTATATTATCTACTCATTAATTAACATCTATATATAAGATATTAATACATAGATGCAACTACTAATTTATAATTATCAATACACTAATCATATGTTGGTTTCTTTTACTTAGGTTAAACGTCTAGTTGTCCTCCATCTAGCAAATCTTATAACACTAATACTTTGGTAAGTTGTTTATTTGGAAAATTTGATAAAGAGTGATCAATAATCCTAGTTACTATAATGATGTTTCTCATGAGAAAAGAAAAAATAGTTGTAGAAAAATAGTAGGAAGCCATGACATGCTAGGTAAGGTTGTATTCTAGAGTAATACTTTGATGCCTACATTTAGAAACTTTGAGCCCAAAGCCTAATGATGTGCAACAAATTAAGATGGAAGAGTTAATGGTTAGGACAATACAAAACTTATTTAGATAATATAGTCTAATAGTGTAGCAAATTTAAATAACACCCTACATAACCCCCCCTTGTTCCTTGAGGGCATTCTAACATAATCCCCTCTTATTCCTTAAGGACATTCTAATATAACCCCTCCTTATTCCTTGAGGGCATTCTAATAGAACTCCCTCTTATTCCTTAAGGACATTCTAACAAAACCCTCCTTTTTCCTTAAGGATATTTCAATCTATTTCAAGGCCCCACCCTATAGCTTCAAGGCATACTCTCAATTCAATTATTTTCACAAATTTTTTCCTCTTTTGAGGCTATCTTTCTATATGTGGATTTTAGCATCTCCTCTAATGATTTAGCCAAACTCTTCTGATCTTGTGGACTCAAGATCAATGTGTTATGGATTCCAAGGTTGAGGCTTCCAAATTCTTCAAATTAAAGATGGAATATTCATAGAAACCATGTTTTTTATGAATTCCATAACTAGATTTTAATTCCACACATCTTAAGCTACATCACGATTGGAGAGAGAGAAGAGTGATAGGAGAGATAGGATGTTGATACGAGGAGAGAGAGAGAGAGAGAGGGAAAGAGAAATAAGGGCACATTGGAGAGAGAGAAGTGCGGCAAATACGGAAAAATACTACTTGTCAAAGGGTTTGACACATGGTATAAAGAGAGTGAGAGATTAGTAATTATAAAAAGGAAATTTGAGATTAAAAGAGAGTTCTTGTTATCACAAAATAAATTATTGGCAAAAGGAAAGAGAAAACCAATGAAGCACACAAAAACAAACTAAAGTAATAAGATAAGAATGAAAAGAAGATGTCCAAGAAGAGAAAATATTCTGGAAGAAAGAGAAAAAAAAATCTCGGAGAGATAAACTCGATGATGGAAACTTTTCTAATGGTGAGGAAGAAATCATCGGCAGAAATAATTGAAGAAAGAGACAATAGAATGTGAAATCAATAAAAAAAAAGAGAAGGAAGAGATTAGATGAGAGATAGAGCGGGAAAACACTTCAGACAAAGGAGAATCCACTAGGGGAAGAAAACATTGGTGAGAGAAAATAGAAAAGTTAAGGACAGAACAAGGGATCAAAGAACATAAAAACAACTTTAAGAAAGGTTAAGAATGTAGGAAAAGAAAGAAAGTAAGTAGAGGAGTGATAAGTCTTCACTATCATGAGTTAATAATTAGTAAATAATATAGTTTTAGCCTTAACTCATGATAAATAGACTTATATTTGTGCTAAAGTGTGAAAAGTGGTTTTCAGTTGATTAATGTGAATTTTTAGGTAATTATGTGATTTTACATGAATTTATATAATTTTTACAGTCTTGCTTTTGAGATCAATGAAGAAAAAGAAATAAAAATAAGACAAAATGAGGGGGGGACCCGCCAGCTAGTCGGGCCCGCAAGCGGGTTGGAAGCTCAGTCGGGGAGTAGCCGTGAGTAGGGGCTTGAGCGGCTTGGACCGATGGGGGCACGTGTGCGCCACTCCCCTTCCACGTCACCGGTGGCCAGCCGGCTGTGGGACAAGGAGTGGTCGTACACGCGGGAGAAGGAACTTTGCTTAGAAAGCTAACATTAATATATATTAGCCCGAAAAATCGGTGCACAACCGATGTGGGACTAAACCCGCGTCACACCTTTCTCAGAAGGGGCGGACAACCAGCGTGGGTTTGAATCCTCCCAGAGTCAAAATTCATATAATTTTATCTGATTATCTCGACTTTCCTGCAAATCACCGGTGAAGGATTAAGCAACGAGAATTGCTAGATCATCGGCTAAAATCTCGTCAACACGATTCACGGAGCATTGCTACTAAAATTGATGAACGATTCGTGATAAAAAGATCGCGAATCCATCGAGTAAATCATCTCCGATTGATCGATGAACAAGCCGTCGTCGGGAAGAGGATGATCCACCGGGAGACGAGTCGCCACCTCCTGAGAGCATACCAGATGCGATGAAGAGCCTCCTCTTGCTGCGCGGACCTGAGGATGAAGCTCCCTGACACGCGCCCCACCTCCATCCAGCTCCTCTCCATTGGGTGACAGCCGCTGGAGAGCTGCAAAGTCGCTATTTTTCCACTCCGCCGGGTGACAGCTGCCAGAGACGATTCGACAACCCATTTCATTAATCTCTAGACTTCGCGAGAAAATCTAGAGATTGCCCACATTGTCTTTGTCCAAGGAGAGCCTTTGAGGTTGTGGACACTACACGACAATCCTTCCGAACGATCAAGATTCCGATGCATCGCCGACGCATCGCCATCGCGATGCCAGAACTCTATTTTCCTGCTTTCAACTTAATTTCTGTTTCATTTAGTGATAATTTATTGATTTTAAATTTACCAACATATACTTCATTTCATTACGATTCTTCCGTCTTTTACAAATCTTAATTTGATCAATTAAATCATTTGTAATCGCTTACGTAAGAATCGTCGGGCGGAACTTTGTTTCCGCCCGATTCACGTTCGCCGGGCGCTGATGTCATCCTGACACCCGCACCCTTATTTCCTTTTTTAGTGAATTTAAAATATATTTCCTTTTCATTTCTTAGTATAAAATTCATATAAAATATTATTCTTTGAGGAAAATTTTGAATAATTACCAGATATTATACTACATCCCTGTGATTGACTTGGAAAATTACCGCTATTTTTGGAAGTTTAATTGAATTATAATTGATATATTTGTTCAGAAATACTTCTAAATATCCAAAAATTCATATTTTCTAGTTTTATAAATTTTATTTTTGCGTGATTTAATATACAACGACTAAGTCACGTCAAATTTTGGCACCGTTGCCGGGGATGTATTGCATAATATTTAGTATTTTTCTGTTTTTCTCTTAAAGTACACAAAAAAAAATTTAACTCTTGTTTTATTTTCTTTTTGCTGATTTTTTTAGAAAAAGGGAACGAAAAGAAGCAAGGCAAGGACTGGAGCATCCTGAAGGAGGGTAACAATTACTAAATTTTTCCCTCGGATTTATTGATTTTTATGCATGGTAGAAGATCCTTGCATCCAAGGCTAGAAAATCCTTTCATTATTTCATTCAAAAATAAAAAACCAAAAGAAAAATTAATTTTGATAGATCCTGAAGGAAGTACAGGTCAAACTGAGAACAATCCTATGGCCATGAAAAATTCTTATATCCCTGATTCATTTCAAAGAGCATCCAATATTAGAGTCCCAGTAGCACCCAATGTTAAATTCGAAATAAATCCAAGAATTTTTCAAATGCTCCCTAATTTTCATGGATTGCCTTTAGAAGAACCTCATCAGCACTTAGAAAAATTTCATATGATCTGTGATTTAGTTAATCTCCCTCAAGTTACACCGGAAATTATTAAGATGAAATTATTTCCTCATACACTTAGGGACAAAGCTAGCCATTGGCTATCCACATTAGATAGAGAATTAACTAGCTGGAAAGACATAGAACAGGCCTTTCTTCAAAAAATTTATCCCTTAGGAAAAACTCAAAATATGAGAAAATATATATAGAGTTTTTCTCAAAGACCAGGAGAAACTTTACATGAGACATGGGAAACATTCAAAGATTTACTTAGAAAGTGTCCTCATCATGCTATACCCAAGTGGCAGCTCAATAGAATTTTTTATGATGGATTATTAGAAAAACATAGAAATATGGTTGATTCTATATGTGGAGGAGCTTTTATGGAGAAAACCCCTGATGAGATTTACAGTCTTTATGAGAATTTAAGTGAAAATTCTAGAGATCAAGCCTCTTTTGAATTATATGACAAGGATAAGAAGAGAGGAATTCATGAATTGCATCATGATAATGAATCTAAATTTAGAAATGAGGTTAATTAGATTAATCAAAGATTAGAAAAACTTGATTTACTTATTGACAATATTAGAAAGCCTCTTAACCCTCAATTTAATTCAAATAGTGCAGGTCCTATGTATGGTGAAAGTGATCATTTCGAATTTCAATATCATCATAGGCAAGAACTAGTGCAGGTACCCCATGATTTTTGTAAAAATAGAGAATATTTTTCTAATTCTTATAATCCTAATTGGGGGAATAATTTTTCGTGGAGAACTCAAATAATATTCAAAATCCAGAAGCACTTAGATCTAATTCACATTTTGACTTTCGTCCAAAATAGGAACATAGATTTCAGAAAAATCAGTCCTCTCAAATCCAACCTGATGCTATGGAAATGATGCAGCAAATGAGCCAAATGATGCAACAAACTATGAATCAAATGATCCTACACCAGAAACAAATTATAGAGGCTCTTGGGAATAAGAGAGAAGAGGGACAGCCACCTAGTCAGCCCATAGAAAATTCAGGAAACTATCCAACAGTAGGATTTCAACAAAGAGAGTCTAGCTAGATAAATTTAGAAAAAAAACCCACGAAATGAAAATGTTAGGTCAGTGAATACATTGATTGAGAATATTTTACTTGATCCTTATTTCGAATTATTATAAGAAATTGATGAGCCATTAGAAGTAAATGAGAATATTAAGGCTGAAAATATAGTAGCAGAAAATTTGAATAAAATCATTTATTACTCACAATTGATGAATAAATATAGTGAGGATGATGAGGAGAAAGAGCCCTTAGATGAAGAGACAGCAGGTGATCATGGAAAAATCATCCAAATTTTAGTAGAAGGGAGTAAGGACACAAATGAAGAAAAACATATTTCAGGTGAGGAAAAATCAATTGATTTAGGAGATGTAGGAGACGAAATTAATAAATCTAATCATAATTTAGCAGCCATGGATGTTGATGATGATGTATATCATATACCGAAATTAAAAGATAGCTCTTCGGAAGATGAAGAATTTGATGAGTCGAGAAACGAAAAGCTAGAAAAAGAGTTGATCCAACTAATTGAGAGAAACAAAAATAATGAATATGAATATAGAGATAATTTTGGAGGAGAAATTTTGAATTTTACTGAATTCATTAGATCTAAGATTAAAGAAGACAATCCTTCCATCCTTCAAAACCCACAGCCCATTAGAATTGTTTCTAAGCTTGAAATATTTCACTCCTCACAAATTGAACAAATATGTATGGAAGATAAAACGGAGCAGGGGAAGATTATGCAGATAAAAGAACACATTAAGAAATGGGTGAGTGGAAGAATTAGAGATATCAAGTTAGATGAAAAAATTCTAGATTGGGTAAGGGCTAATTTGAAAATTATATGGCCTGATCACATTTTATGGTCTATTAATAGAAAGTATTTATTAATGAATGAGAGCCTTACAAAACAAGAGAGAAATAAGGAAAGATTCTTTTCAAAATGGAAATATAATTTTTGGGAAGATTTTGTTAATTTTGTTTTGGCTGAAAGTATGTCAAGGTATATATATCAAGTATATGAATTTATGCTAAATCTGAAAAAGAATATCATGAAACTTACTGATAAGTCTTCATTATCATGAGTTAATAATTAGTCAATAATATAGTTTTAGCCTTAACTCATGATAAATAGACTTATATTTGTGTTAAAGTGTGAAAAGTGGTTTTCAATTGATTAATGTGAATTTTTAGGTAATTATGTGATTTTACATGAATTTATATGATTTTTACAGTCTTGCTTTTGAGATCAATGAAGAAAAAGAAATAAAAATAAGACAAAATGAGGGGGGGACCCGCCGGCCAGCCGGGCCCGCAAGCGGGTCGGAAGCTCAGTCGGGGAGTAGCCGCGAGCAGGGGCTCGAGCGGCTTGGACCGATAGGGGCACGTGTGCGCCACTCCCCTTCCACGTCACCGGTGGCCAGCCGACTATGGGGCGAGTGGTCGTACACGCGAGAGAAGGAACTTTATTGCTTAAAAATGTAACATTACTATATATTCGCCCAAAAAATCGGCGCCCAACTGGTGCGGGTTCGAATCCTCCTAGAGTCAAAATTCATATATTTTTATCTGATTATCGCGACTTTCCTACAGATCGCCAGTGAAGGATTAAGCAACGAGAATCGCTGGATCATCGGCGAAAATCTCGTCAACGTGATTCGCGGAGCATTGCTACTAAAATTGCTGAACGATTCGCGATAAAAGGATCGCGAATCCATCAAGTAAATCATCTCTGATTGATCGACGAACAAGCCGTCGTCGAGAAGAGGACGATCTGCTGGGAGATGAGTCGCCACCTCCTGAGAGCATACCAGATGCGATGAAGAGCCTCCTCTTGCTGCGTAGACCTGAGGATGAAGCTCCCTGACACGCGCCCCACCTCCATCCAGCTCCTCTCCGTCAGGTGACAGCCGCCGGAGAGCCGCAAAGTCGCTGTTTTTCCGCTCCGCCGAGTGACAGCCGCCAGAGACGATTCGACGACCCATTTCATTAAAGACTTCGCGAGAAAATCTAGAGATTGCCCACGTCGTCTTTGTCCAAGGAGAGCCTTCAAGGCTGTGGACACTGCACGACGATCCTCCTGAACGCTTAGGATTCCGGTGCATCACCGACGCATCGCCGTCGCGACGCCGGAACTCTATTTTCCTACTTTCAACTTAATTTCCGTTTCATTTAGTGATAATTTATTGATTTTAAATTTACCAACATATACTTCATTTCATTACGATTCTTCCGTCTTTTACAGATCTTAATTTGATCAATTAAATCGTTTGTAATCGCTTACGTAAGAATCGCCAGGCAGAACTCTATTTCCGCCCAATTCATGTTCGCCGGGCGCTGACATCATCCTGACGCCCACACCCTTATTTCCTTTTTTTGTGAATTTAAAATATATTTCCTTTTCATTTCTTAGTATAAAATTCATATAAAATATTATTCTCTGAGGAAAATTTTGAATAATTACCAGATATTATATTACATCCCTATGATCGACCTGGAAAATTACTGCTATTTTTGGAAGTTTTATTGAATTATAATTGATATATTTGTTCAGAAATACTTCTAAATATCCGAAAATTTATATTTCCTAGTTTTATAAATTTTATATTTGCGTGATTTAATATACAATGACTAAGTCACGTCAAGGAGGAAGGGAAGAATACATCAGTAAAGTAAGAGAAAATGAAGATCTCCTCCCATCTATGAGAGGAAGAGATAGTGAAAGGGAAAATGAGAAATAACAAAAACACATTGAAAAATCAAAAACTAAAGATTCTGAAATATTGTACAAAATGAGGGGAATGATTTCATTCCTATCATATAGTAAAACAGTGAAGAGAGAAGAGAGGAATTAGCTCCGAGAAATGAAAATGTGGAGAGAGAGAGAGAGATAGAGAGCTTGGGAGAAAGTATCCTATGAGTGTGTGAAATATCTAAAGAAAAATGGCAGCTGTAGAGGATGCAATGACCTTGGGGAGGTTGATGAATGAATAAAGACCAAATTGCCTCTTTCTTATAGCCAAAATTTCCTTTTTTATCCTTAATATGGACAAGTAGTTGTCTCAAAAATTCTTACAAATACAAATATAATTAGAATTTTTAAAAAAATAAATTAATATTTATATACAAGGTCTTATTTGCATGTTATTTCTTCATGACATCATGATAAAAATACACACTTTTATCTTATCTTTTTTAATTTTAAGTTCTTTGAACCTAATTTTCTACATGAAGGTAATTTGGAGCATTTGTAATGAACATAAAAGGGCAGGTTAGTGCCTTGATGTCCAGAATTGCACAATAGATTTATGAAATCTATTGTGCAAGAGATTCAGATTCTGTGAAGTTCAATCACATATCTTTGGTTGATAATAAGGGTAAGAATAATTGTAAAGTACAGATCGAAAAGCTGAACTATTATAATTTTCTATGTATAACACTTTGGCATAACTAAGTGAGTAGACCCAATTAAGTCCATTGGTGTGTTAATCTGGGGACTCATTGAGGTATACTATGTCAACCCACTATTTGAACTTCGTACTCAAATAAAACCCCATGAGGACTTTCCAATAGTCTAAAATGAGTGATGGATATGAGTTAATGCCTTCAAATGCCACCATTTACTTCGCTCCCCAAGAGAAGATACAAATCCCTTTAAAAGCATTATTAATTGGTACACAAGGAAATTGTTATTTTGAAGAATAATTAAAATATATTCTCTTAACATTACAACTAATATTTTCCAGCACAAAGGTTTGTCAAGAAACATTTCAAATATACATAGGAATGCTCCATTATCAAATTCCATTTAGTATCAAGAAATAAAATACACTCGCTACTATCAAGGGATGGTTCATAAGTGGCTATAAAATTTAAATCTCATCTGAATGTAACCGAATAAGTCTTCATTATCATGAGTTAATAATTAATAAATAGTATATTTTTAGTTTTAACTCATGATAAATAGAATTATATTTATGTTAAATTATGAAAAAATATTTTTAATTAGTTAATATATTTTTTAGTTAATTATATGATTTTATGTAAATTTATATAATTTTTATAATCCTACTTTTGAGATAAATAAAGAAAAATAAAATAAAATAAAAAGATAGAAAAAGCGGACCCACTAGCCAGCCAAGCCTGCAAGAGAGTTGAAAGCACAGTTAAGTAGAGTCACAGGTAGGGGCTCAAGTGGCTAAGGATAGACCGATAGAGGGCACATGTGCGTCACTCTCCTTCCATGTCACTAGTGGCCAGTCGGGCATGGGGTAAAGAGTGGTCGTACACATGCGAGAAAGGGACTCATTGATTCCTAAATCTTGTATTACTATATATTCATCTCAAAATATGATGTACAATTAATGTGGGACTAAACCCCGGTTTCACCTTCTCATGATGGTTTTTTTATTTTTGTACCTCAAATGCCCCTTATTTATCAAAAGGAGGTATCTTGATGACATTACTTTATAAGGGTATTTTTATATGTATTTTACTCTCTCTCATGTAGGCAAGCGACTAGAGAGGGATTGAATCTTACTAGAGCTAAAACTCATATTTTTATTTAATTAAATCACAATTTTTCAATAGATGCTAATGAATGATTAAGCCACCATAATTACTCAATCATCAACAAAAATCTCTTCAACATAATTCGCTAAGTATCGTTACTAAAATTGTTGAAAGATTCATGACGTGACTTAGTCGTTGTATATTAAATCACGCAAATATAAAATTTATAAAACTAGAAAATACGAATTTTCGGATATTTAGAAGTATTTCTGAACAAATATATCAATTATAATTCCATAAAAGTTCCAAAAATAGCGGTAATTTTCCAAGTCGATCACAGGGATGTAATATAATATATGGTAATTATTTAGAATTTTCTTCAATGACATTCCACCTCCGCGATGACGACGAGCTCAAGCTCACCCTTATCTTTCTTTGTATTTTCACTTTGACTTGTTGGGCCTCGCGTTTGTGTGTTAGCGAGCCCAATTCTATGTGTGTATGTTGTTGTTTGTGTCTCCCTTTCTTTAGGGTTTTATTGGGTCTCTCTTTTGAGACCCAATTAAAACCCCTAAGGGGGGGGACCTATGTTTCTTTCCTTTTGGGCCTCTTTTGGGGCTTATTTGGGTCTTTATTTGAGGCCCACTTAAGCACCGTACAAGGGCCCTCCTCTTTCTCCTTTTAGGGGAGCTTATTGGGTCTCTCTTTTAGAGGCCCAATAAGCCCCTTTTGTAGCCTTTTTGTGACTTATGGGCTTGAGGGCCTCAAGTGGGCCCACCTCCCCTTAGCCCACTTGTGGGCCCTATATAAGGGGAGGTAGGACCCCCCTCAACCAGAAGCGCCGAATTTTGTGAAAGATTATCGTTTGTGAGTTACCTTCTTCATGACCTAGGATAGGGAGGGAAGGAGGGAGAGGAAGGCTGTTGATACCCTTTGAGGACTTCGTTCATCGTGAGGCTGCTGCTTGAGAAGTCCCGCCGCCGCCTGAGACCAACTTCCGCCACCAGACATCTTCATTGTCGCCTGTGAGATTGCCCCCGTCACCAGACGAAACGGTCACGATTGCCACTGCAACCGCCGCTGCCTCTGCTGGAACCCCATCACGCCGTCGTGACGAAAGGGGCTTGCTTCGCCTCCCTATGAGCCGTCGCTGAGCACTCTGCCGGGGTCTCTTGACTCCTAGTTCGACTATCGCCTCTTCCTTCAAAACTCCACCATAAACTCGCCGGAGCCGTCATCCGCCACTCCGCCCAGTCGTTAGCCGTTCGTCGACGAAAGCCTACCTGCCACCGACGTCGGGAGAGACCCTGCAGCCGTGCCGACGAGCCAGATCTAGTCCAAGCTCCTCATAGGCCCCCGCCGGAGTTTCCTGACAATCCGCCGCCGTCGCGCCGTTTCTGCGCCGCCTAGACCAGGAGGGCTCAGCCCTCCCTGGTATCGTCGGCCTGGATCGTCTCCTTCCTCTGCTCCACTTCTCGGCACCGCCAGAGAAGGCCGATCCTTCCGGCGACGGTTGGGCTTCCGTCCAACCACCGACGCTCGGCATTCTTGCCGAAGCGCCGCCGCCGCACGTGCCCCGTGTGCTGGCTCCTACGGCCCGCACGCCCACCCAGAGCCACCGCCCACGTGCCCCGAGGCACGCCGCGCGGCTTGCCGCGTGTGCCCGCTAGCGTGCCCTTCAGCCCACTAGTAGGCCCATGCCCGCGCCGACCGCGCCACGCCTTACAACAACGACTACTGCGACTCTCGACCAGAACCGACCGTCGACGCTGAGCATCGCTCTTCACCGGACGTCTTTGCTTACGTCGAGTCTCCACTCCGTCATGACCCGCCGGGCTACACAGCCCCGAAGGTTAGCTCCGTACCCCTTCTTACTTAAGTTTAATTATCTTTTGAAGGGTTTTCTCCGCTCATTTCCACCGTCATTAGGAGAACGTAGACAAGATAGGACAGGTTATAGGATCGTGACTTCTGACGTTGCGTCAGACTCGTCACCATTTGTGAGCTATAGCCCTAGGCTACTTCACGACGACCGTTCCGCCGTTTGTCCGGACGTGGACCAAGAGGGTCTCATACTTACTGACGTGACTTAGTCGTTGTATATTAACTCACACAAATCTAAAATTTATAAAACTAGAAAATATGATTTTTCAGATATTTAGAAGTATTTCTGAACAAATATATCAATTATAATTCAATAAAACTTCAAAAAATAGTGGTAATTTTCTAGGTTGATCATAGGGATGTAATATAATATCTGGTAAATATTCAGAATTTTCCTCAAAGAATACTATTTTCTATGAATTTTATACTAGTAAATGAAAGGAAATATATTTAAAATTCACGAAAAAGGGAAATAAGGGTGCAGACATCAGGATGACATCAGCACCCGGCAAACACGAATTGGGCAGAAACAGAGTTCCACCCGGTAATTCTTACGTAAGCGATTACAAACGATTTAATTGATCAAATTAAGATCTGTAATAGTCAGAAGAATCGTAATGAAATGGAGTATATCTTGGTAAATTTAAAATCAACAAATTATCACTAAAAGAATCGAAAATTAAGTTGAAAGCAAGAAAACAGAGTTCCAACATCACGGCGGCGATGCATCAGCGATGCACCAAAATTCTGAGCGTTCGGGAGGATAGTCGTGTAGTGTCCACGGCCTTGAAGGCTCTCCTTAGACAAGGACGATGTGGGCAATCTCTAGATCTCCTTGCAAAGTCTAGAGATCAATGGAATGGGTCGTCGAATCGTCTCCGGCGACTGTCACCCGGCAGAGTAGAAAAACAGCGACTTTGCAGCTCTCTGGCGGCTGTCACCCGACGGAAAGGAGCTGGATGGAGGTGGGGCGCGTGTCAGGGAACTTCATCCTCAGGTCCGCACAGCAAGAGGAGGCTCTTCATCGCATCTGGTACGCTCTCAAGAGGTGGTAACTCGTCTCCCGGTGAATCGTCCTCTTCCCGACGATGGCTTGTTCGTCGATCAATCGAAGATGCTTTACTCGATGGATTCGCGATCCTTTTATCGCGAATCGTTCAGCAATTTTAGTAACAATGCTCCATGAATCGTGTTGACGAGATTTTCACCGATGATCTAGTGATTCTAGTTGCTTAGTCCTTCACTGGCGATCTGCAGGAAAGTCGCAATAATCAGATAAAAATATGAATTTTGGCTCTGAGAGGATTTAAACCCGCGCCAGTTGCCCGCCCCTTCTGGGGAAGATGACGCGGGTTTAGTCCCACATCAATTGAGCGCTGAATTTTCGGGCGAATATATAGTAATGTTAGATCTCTAAGCAAGTCCCTTTCTCGAACGTGTACAACCACTCCTTGCCCCACAGCCGGCTGGCCACCGGTGATGTGGAAGGGGAGTGGCACACACGTGCCCTATCAGTCCAAACCGTTCAAGCCCCTGCTTGCGGCTCCTCCCTGACTGCGCTTCCGACCCGCTTGGGGGCCCGGCTGGCCGGCGGATCCCCTCCATTTTGTAATATTTTTATTTTTATTTCTTTTTCTCAAAAGTAAGACTGTAAAAATCATATAAAATCACATAATTACCTAAAAATTCACGTTACTCAACTGAAAACCACTTTTCACACTTTAACACAAATATAAGTCTATTTATCATGAGTTAAGGCTAAAACTATATTATTTACTAATTATTAACTCATGATAATGAAGACTTATCACACCCCCCAACTTAAATCATTGCTAGTCCCTTAGCAATGGAATTACGAAAATAAAAATTTACAAATCTCAAACATCATATTCCAATACATAAAAAAATACAATTAGAAATGATGCACCTTTAGATACTTTGGACTCTTATATCAAGTATTTAAGAATGATGTCAAACACTTCAATGTTTAAGCACTCTTTGGAATAACAATCTAGAATTCACTTCTTCTATTCACATCTTTATCACTTCTTCACTCATAGATATATTTACAAGATGTTCCAATTATCAATACTCATCCAAGAATAATATTGATCCTACATTTCCATTTTTTCATGGCTTGATTTTTGAAGTTTGCACTATATTTCTTCCTTCTTTTTTTTTTTATATATATATAGTGGATAAGTAGCTTTTCTTGTAGACAAATTTTGACAATAAGAATGATGTCTCACACCCTCCATGTGTACTCTTCATTTTCAGGGCTTTCACTTTATCCACTTATTTTGTAGCAAGTGTTTTTCTATACACGATTTTCGACAATAAGAATGATGTCTCACACCCTCCATGTGTACTCTTCGTTTCTAGATTTTTCACATTACTCTCTCTTTTTTTTTCGAAATAAGTGATTTCTCCTCACAAGTCCTATAGATCAGGGTGCAAAAATCTCTATTAAACTCAAATGATCAATCAAATTTTCACACCAAGTAAATACTATCCATCAAGATCATGAAGTGAAAATCTGTAAAATCAAATTCATGTTATCTATCATGTATCCAAGGAGTATTCCAACATTTCATGCTACTAGATCATTCTTTTGACTTAATAATAATCTTCCTAGTATCTTTTGGTATCAATCAATCTAATTGATTTAATTTTTCATGCATGCAATATGATGTAAGAAATTTATAAATTAGATAGTTCTGATAGTTCTGTTTTCTATTTTCAGTTTTATTTTTAGCAACAATAAATTTGTCAAAAATAAATCAAAACTATCCTCTTTATAGCTGTAATTTTGAATTTTAGTAATATATGTCTAGGGGATTGAAATGTGAGAAAAGGGTCTCTAGAATTTCAAATTTTGAGCTGATTTTTGTCTGCTATTTTTGACAATCTGTTATTCCTGACAGAAAATCAGAAAATAGATGTTGCAGTTTTTTCGAATTTTATTTTATTTTTTAATTTTTCAGTTGCTGTTCTAATGCAAACACATCTTCTTAATCGTCCTACAGCATAAATTAATGATGAATACTTCACCCCCCAACTTAAAAAATGACATTGTCCTCAAAGACACAGAAAAATTGAAACAGAATGTCCTCAAGTCAAGCATGCATATATACAGAATTATGCATATATGATCAGTTTGTAAGTAGTACAAGATGGCGATAAAGCTCAGAAAGACATCACCTCAACCTTGTTTTTAATTTTTCACTTCATCTTACACTCCTCCTCATACACTTTTTTGAAAAAACAAATACAGAAGTAAGTATTGCAAAATTTTAAGAAAAACAGAGCTTAGAAAAAATCAAATAGAATGAAATAAAAACCATGGGTTGCCTCCCATGCAGCCTTGAATTTAATGTCTTCAGTTGGACAGCTCTTAGATCATATAAGATGATCTATGGCCATCAAAATATATTTGTATCCCAAGGTAAGTTTCATGATATTCTTTTTCAGATTTAGCATAAATTCATATACTTCATATATATACCTTGACATACTCTCAGCCAAAACAAAATGGAAATCAACAAAGTTTCCCCAAAAATATTATTTCCATTTTGAAAAGAATCTTTCCTTATTTCTCTCTTGTTTTGTAAGGCTCTCATTCATTAATAAATACTTTCTATTAATAGACCATAAAATGTGATCAGGCCATATAATTTTCAAATTAGCTCTTACCCAATCTAGAATTTTTTTCATCTAAATTTATATCTCTAATTCTTCCACTCACCCATTTCTTAATGTGTTCTTTTATCTGCATAATCTTCCCCTGCTCCATTATATCTTCCATACATATTTATTCAATTTGCGAGGAGTGAAATATTTCAAGCTTAGAAATAATTCTAATGGGTTGTGGGTTTTGAAGGATGGAAGGATTGTCTTCTTTAATCTCAGATCTAATGAATTCAGTCAAATTCAAATTTTCTCCTCCAAAATTATCTCTATATTCATATTCATTATTTTTGTTTCTCCCCATTAGTTGAATTAACTCTTTTTCTAGTTTTTCGTTTCTCAACTCATCAAATTCTTCATCCCAAGAGCTATCTTTTAATTTCGATATATGATATACATCATCATCCTCACTATCAACATCTATGGCTGCAAAAGTATGATTAGATTTATTAATTTTGTCTCCTACATCTCCCAAATCAACTGATTTTTCCTCACTTGAAATATGTTTTTCTTCATTTTTGTCCTTACTCTCTTCTACTAAAATTTGGATGATTCTTCCATGATCAGATGTTGTCTTTTCATCTAAGGGCTCTTTCTCCTCATCATCCTCACTATATTCATTCATCAATTGTGAGCAATAAATGATTTTATTCAAATTTTCTGCTACTATATTTTCAGCCTTAATATTCTCATTTACTTCTAATGGCTCATCAATTTCTTCTAATAATTAGAAATAAGGATCAGGTAAAATATTCTCACTCAATGTATTCACTGTCCTAACATTTTCATTTCGTGGGTTTTTTTCTAAATTTATCCAGCTAGACTCTCCTTGTTGAAATCCTACTGCTGGACGGTTCCCTAGATTTTCTATGGGCTGACTAGGTAGCTGTCCCTCTTCTCTCTTATTCCCAAGAGCCTCTATAATTTGCTTCTAGTGCAGCATCATTTGATTCATAGTTTGTTGCATCATTTGGCTCATTTGCTGCATCATTTCCATAGTATCAAGTTGGGTTTGAGAGGGCTGATTTTTCTGAAATCTGTGTTCCTATTTTGGACGAAATTCAAAATTTGAATTGGATCTAAGTGCTTCTGGATTTTGAATATTATTTGAGTTTCTCCACGAAAAATTATTCCCCCAATTAGGATTATAAGAATTAGAAAAATATTTCCTATTTTTACTAAAATCGTGGGGTACCTGCACTTGTTCTTGCTTAGGATGATATTGAAATTCGAAATGATCATTTTCATCATACATAGGACAAGCACTATATGCATTCAATTGAAGGTTAAGAGGCTTTCTAATATTCTCAATAAGTAAATAAAGTTTTTCTAATCTTTGATTAATCTAATTAACCTCATTTCTAAATTTAGAATCATCATTATGATGTAATTCATAAATTCCTCTCTTCTTATCCCTGTCATATAATTCAAAAAAGGCTTGATCTCTAGAATTTTCACTTAAATTCTCATAAAGACTGTAAATCTCATCAGGGGTTTTCTCCATAAAAGCTCTTCCACATATAGAATCAACCATATCTCTATGTTATTCTAATAATCCATCATAAAAAAATATATTGAGCTGCCACTTGGGTATAGCATGATGAGGATACTTTCTAAGTAAATCTTTGAATATTTTCCATGTCTCATGTAAAGTTTCTCCTAGTCTTTGAGAAAAACTCCATATATGTTTTCTCATATTTTGAGTTTTACCTAAAGGATAAAATTTTCAAAGAAAGGCCTGTTCTATGTCTTTCTAGCTACTTAATTATCTATCTAATGTAAATAGTGACGTTACTTAGTCGTTGTATATTAAATCACGCAAATATAAAATTTATAAAACTAGAAAATACAAATTTTCAGATATTTAGAAGTATTTATGAACAAATGTATCAATTATAATTCAATAAAACTTTCAAAAATAGCGATAATTTTGCAAGTTGATCACAGGGATGTAATATAATATCTGGTAATTATTTAGAATTTTCCTCAGAGAATAATATTTTATATGAATTTTATACTAAGAAATGAAAAGGAAATATATTTTAAATTCGCGAAAAAAGGAAATAAGGGTGCGGGCATCAAGAAGACGTTAGTGCCCGGCGAACACGAATCGGGCAGAAACAGAGTTATGCCCGACGATTCTTACGTAAGCGATTACAGACGATTTAATTGATCAAATTAAGATCTATAAAAGATGGAAGAATCGTAATGAAATGAAATATATGTTGGTAAATTTAAAATCAACAAATTATCACTAAATGAAATGGAAATTAAGTTGAAAGCAAGAAAACAGAGTTCCGGCGTCAAGACGGCGATGCGTCGGCGATGCACCGGAATCCTGAGCGTTCGGGAGGATCGTCGTGCAGTGTCCACAGCCTCGAAGGCTCTCCTTGGACAAAGACGATGTGGGCAATCTCTAGATCTTCTCGCGAAGTCTAGAGATTAATGAAATGGGTCGTCGAGTCATCTCCGGCGGCTGTCACCCGGCAGAGCAGAAAAATGGCAACTTTGCGGCTCTCCGGCGGCTGTCACCCGACAGAGAGGAGCTGGATGGAGGTGGGGGGCGCATGTCAGGGAGCTTCATCCTCAGGTCCGCGCAGCAAGAAGAGGCTCTTCATCCAATCTAGTACGCTCTCAGGAGGTGGCAACTCGTCTCCCAGCGGATCGTCCTCTTCACGACGACGGCTTGTTCGTCGATCAATCGGAGATGATTTACTCGATGGATTCACGATCCTTTTATCGCGAATCGTTTAGCAATTTTAGTAGCAATGTTCCGCGAATCGTGTTGACGAGATTTTCGTCGATGATCCAACGATTCTCGTTGCTTAATCCTTCACCGGCGATCTGCAAGAAAGTCGCGATAATCAGATAAAAATATATGAATTTTGACTCTGGGAGGATTTGAAACCGCACCAGTTGTCCGCCCTTTCTGAGGAAGGTGTGACGCGGGTTTAGTCCCACATCGGTTGTGCGCCGATTTTTCGGGCAAATATATAGTAATGTTAGCTTTCTAAGCAAAGTTCCTTCTCTCGCGTGTACGACCACTCATTGCCCCACAGTCGGCTGGCCACCGGTGACGTGGAAGGGGAGTGGCACACACGTGCCCCTATCGGTCCAAGCCGCTCGAGCCCCTGCTCGCGGCTACTCCCCGACTGAGCTTCCGACCCACTTGCGGGCCCGGCTGACCGGCGGGTCCCCCCATTTTGCAATATTTTAGTTTTATTTCTTTTTCTTCATTTATCTCAAAAGTAAGATTGTAAAAATCATATAAATTCATATAAAATCACATAATTACCCAAAAAATCACATTAATCAATTGAAAACCACTTTTCACACTTTAGCACAAATATAAGTCTATTTATCACGAGTTAAGGCTAAAACTATATTATTTACTAATTATTAACTCATGATAATGAAGACTTATCATGCTGTAAATGATTTAAGCATTCATCAAATGATTCACCAAAAACAGAAAAATCGTCCATAAAAATTTCCATACATTTTCCAATCGTATCAGAAAAAATAGACAACATACATCTTTGAAATGTGGCTGGAGCATTACACGGACCAAAAAGCATGCGTTTAAAAGCAAAAGTACCAAATGGACAAGTGAAAGTTGTTTTTTCTTGATCTAAAGGGTTTATATAAATTTGATTATAACCAGAGTATCCATCTAGAAAACAAAAAAAGTTTTTTCTAGCTAATTTTTCTAGAATTTGATTAGTAAATGGCAGGGGAAAATGATCTTTTCTAGTAACTGAATTTAATTTTCTATAATCAATGCAAACCCTCCAACCAGTAGTTAATCTTGTTTGTATTTCATCTCCATTTTTGTTTTTGATAACCGTGATCCCTGATTTTTTTGGCACCACTTGTGTAGGACTAACCCATTTGCTATCTGAAATAGGATAAATAATATCAGCAGCCAGCCACTTTAAAATTTCTTTTTTTACAATTTCCATCATGTTAGGATTTAATCTTCGTTGTGGTTCCTTGCTAGTTCTAGCCCCCTCCTCTAGATATATACTATGCATGCATACACTCATATCAATGCCCCTTAGATCATCCATTTTCCAGCCCATAGCCTTCTTTTTTTTTCGAAGTACATCTAATAATTCTTCTTCCTGTTCATCACTCAAATCAGCTACAATAATAACAGGAAATGAATTATTTTCCTCCAATAACATATATTTTAAACTAGAGGGAAGAGGTTTCAACTCTAAATTCAGATGATCTTCCTCTTTCTTTTCTTCTAAATTTATATTCTCTATTTCCTCTAATTCTTCCAGCACACAGTCATCAATAACATCTGGATCATCAAAATCATCTAGAAGATCTATGGTATGACAATCATATACTTGGGATTTCTTAAGATCATTTGATACCTCAAAAAATTTAATTTCTACTGATTGATCTCCACATGAAATTTTCGCAATACTTGTGGGAAAATCAATATTCATCTTTGCTGTATACAAAAATGGTCTCCCTAGGATGATTGGCATATCATAAAACTGTCCATTAAAATCCATTTCCAACACTACAAAATCAGCTGGAAATTTACACCCTTTAACTGTCACTATCACATTTTCTAAAATACCTTTAGGATGTTTTATGGATCTATCAGCAAATTGTAAGGTAACAGTAGAAGGTTTAAGATCAGAAATATTAAATTTATCACAAATACTTGCAGGTAATAAATTAATACTAGCACCGGTGTCAAGTAATGCATTCTGAAAAATGGATCCACCAATATCACACGAAATTAAAGGGACACCTGTATCTCTCAATTTATATGATAATTGATTTAATAATAATGTACTAGCATGCATAGATAATTTTTCTACTCTAGGTGCCCTTTTTGGTGTACACATTTCTTTCAAAACTCTAGCATATTCAGGAATATGTTCAATGGCAGTGAGTAAAGGAAGACTAATTTGCACATCTTGTAAGATTTTCTTTATTTCTTCATTGTGTTCCTTTTTCTTTCTTTGTCTAGGCTCTAGAGCTTTAGGAAATGGAATGGTTGTCCTCTCTTTCGAAATTTCCTTGGTAGAATCTATAAAATCCTCTTCTACTCCTATTTGATTTTGTTTTGGGTTGTCCATATTTTCTTTTTCTTCTAATGTTTGGGGATAAAGATCAGGTAAAATCTTACCACTCCTTAATGCATTCACTGTCCTAACATTTTCATTTCGTGGGTTTTTTCCTAGATTCATGCTACTAGACTCCCCTTGCTAAAATCCTATTGTTGGACGGTTCCCTGGATTTTCTATGGGCTGACTAGGTAGCTGTCCCTCTTCTCTCTTATTCCCAAGGGCCTCTATAATTTGTTTCTGGTGCTGCATCATTTGATTTATAGTTTGTTGCATCATTTGATTCATAGTTTGTTGCATCATTTGGCTCATTTGCTGCATCATTTCTATAGTATCAGATTTGGTTTGAGAGGGCTGATTTTTCTGAAATCTGTTTTCTTGTTTTGGACAAAATTCAGAGTTTGAATTGGGTCTAAGTGCTTCTGAGTTTTGAATATTATTTGGGTCTCTCCATGAAAAATTATTCCTCCAATTAGGATTATAAGAATTTGAAAAAGGTTCTCTATTTCTATTAAAACTGTGAGCCACTTGCACTTGTTCTTGCATAGGGTGAAATGATTGATCTAAGTTAGAACATTGAAATTCAGAATAATCATTTTCACCATACATAAGACGTACTATTTGAATTAAGTTGAGGGTTAAAAGGCTTTCTAATATTGTCAATAAGTAAATCAATTTTTTCTAATCTTTGATTAATCTAATTAACCTCATTTCTAAGTTTAGAATCATCATCATGATGCAATTCATAAATTCCTCTCTTCTTATCCCTATCATATAATTCAAAAGAGGCTTGATCTCTAGAATTTTCACTTAAATTCTCATAAAGACTATAAATCTCATCAAGGGTTTTCTCCATAAAAGCTCCTCCACATATAGAATCAACCATATTTCTATGTTATTCTAATAATCCATCGTAAAAAATTATATTGAGCTGCCACTTGGGTATAGAATGATAAGGACACTTTCTAAGTAAATCTTTGAATGTTTCCCATGTCTCATGTAAAGTTTCTCCTGATCTTTGAGAAAAACTCCATATATGTTTTCTCATATTTTGGGTTTTTCCTAAGGGATAAAATTTTCAAAGAAAGGCATGTTCTATGTCTTTCTAGCTAGTTAATTCTCTATCTAATGTGGATAGCTAATGGCTAGCTTTGTCCCTGTGTATGAGGAAATAATTTCATCTTAATAATTTCCGACGTAACTTGAGGGAGATTAACTAAATCATAGACAATATGAAATTTTTCTAAGTGCTGATGAGGTTCCTCTAAAGGCAATCCAAGAAAATTAGGGAGCATTTGAAAAATTCATGAATTTATTTCGAATTTAACAGTGGGTGCTAATGGGACTCTAATATTTGATGCTCTTTGAAATGAATCAGGGATATAATGATTTTTCATGGCCATAGGATTGTTCTCAGTTTGACCTGTACTTCCTTCAAGATCCATCAAAATTAATTTTTCTTTCGGATTTTTATTTTTGAATGAAATAATGAAAGGATTTTCTAGTCTTGGATGCAAGGATCTTCTACCATGCATAAAAATCAATAAATTCGAGGGAAACATTTAGTAATTGTTACCCTCCTTCAGGATGTTCCAATCCTTGCCTTGCTTCTTTTCGTTCCCTTTTTCTAAAAAAAATTGGCAAAAAGAAAATAAAACAAGAGTTAAATTTTTTTTGTGTACTCTAAGAGAAAAACAGAAAAATACTAAATATTATGCAATACATCCCCGGCAACGGCACCAAAATTTGACGCGACTTAGTCGTTGTATATTAAATCATGCAAATATAAAATTTATAAAACTAGAAAATACGAATTTTCAGATATTTAGAAGTATTTCTAAACAAATATACCAATTATAATTCAATAAAACTTTCAAAAATAGCGGTAATTTTCCAAGTCAATCACAGGGATGTAGTATAATATCTGGTAATTATTCAAAATTTTCCTCAAAGAATAATATTTTATATGAATTTTATACTAAGAAATGAAAAGGAAATATATTTTAAATTCACTAAAAAAGGAAATAAGGGTGCGGGTGTCAGGATGACATCAGCGCCCGGCGAACGTGAATCGGGCGGAAACAAAGTTCCACCCGGCGATTCTTACGTAAGCGATTACAAATGATTTAATTGATCAAATTAAGATTAACATCTGGTAATTATTCAGAATTTTCCTCAGAGAATAATATTTTATATGAATTTTATACTAAGAAATGAAAAGGAAATATATTTAAAATTAACGAAAAAAGGAAATAAGGGTGCGGGCATCAGGATAACGTCAACGCCCGGCGAACGCAAATCGAGCGGAAACAGAGTTCCGCCCGGTGAACGCAAATCGAGCAGAAACAGAGTTCTGCCCGGCGATTCTTACGTAAGCGATTACATACGATTTAATTGATAAAATTAAGATCTGTAAAAGATGGAAGAATTGTAATGAAATTAAGTATATGTTGGTAAATTTAAAATCAACAAATTATCACTAAATGAAACGGAAATTAAGTTGAAAGCAGGAAAACAGAGTTTCGGCGTCGCGACGGCGATGCATCAGAATGCTGAGCGTTCGGGAGGATCGTCGTTTAGTGTCCACGGCCTCGAAGGCTCTCCTTGGACAAAGACGACATGGGCAATCTCTAGATCTTCTCACGAAATCTAGAGATTAATGAAATGGGTCGTCGAGTCGTCTCCGGCGGCTGTCTCCCAGCGGAGCGGAAAAACGGCGACTTTGCGGCTCTTCGGCGGCTGTCACCCGACAAAGAGGAGCTGGATGGAGGTGGGGGGCGCATGTCAGGGAGCTTCATCCTCAGGTCCGCGCAGCAAGAAGAGGCTCTTCATCCAATCTAGTACGCTCTCAGGAGGTGGCAACTCGTCTCCCAGCGGATCGTCCTCTTCACGACGACGGCTTGTTCGTCGATCAATCGGAGATGATTTACTCGATGGATTCACGATCCTTTTATCGCGAATCGTTTAGCAATTTTAGTAGCAATGTTCCGCGAATCGTGTTGACGAGATTTTCGTCGATGATCCAACGATTCTCGTTGCTTAATCCTTCACCGGCGATCTGCAAGAAAGTCGCGATAATCAGATAAAAATATATGAATTTTGACTCTGGGAGGATTCGAAACCGCACCAGTTGTCCGCCCTTTCTGAGGAAGGTGTGACGCGGGTTTAGTCCCACATCGGTTGTGCGCCGATTTTTCGGGCAAATATATAGTAATGTTAGCTTTCTAAGCAAAGTTCCTTCTCTCGCGTGTACGACCACTCATTGCCCCACAGTCGGCTGGCCACCGGTGACGTGGAAGGGGAGTGGCACACACGTGCCCCTATCGGTCCAAGCCGCTCGAGCCCCTGCTCGCGGCTACTCCCCGACTGAGCTTCCGACCCACTTGCGGGCCCGGCTGACCGGCGGGTCCCCCCATTTTGTAATATTTTAGTTTTATTTCTTTTTCTTCATTTATCTCAAAAGTAAGACTATAAAAATCATATAAATTCGTATAAAATCACATAATTATTGAAAAAATCACATTAATCAACTGAAAACCACTTTTCACACATTAACATAAATATAAGTCTATTTATCACGAGTTAAGGCTAAAATTATATTATTTACTAATTATTAACTCATGATAATGAAGACTTATTAGATAGCCAATGACTAGCTTTGTCTCTAAGTGTATGAGGGAATAATTTCATCTTAATAATTTCCGGTGTAACTTGAGGGAGATTAACTAAATCATAGACCATATAAATTTTTTCTAAGTGCTGATGAGGTTCCTCTAAAGGCAATCCATGAAAATTAAGGAGCATTTGAAAAATTCTTGGATTTATTTCGAATTTAACAGTGGGTGCTAATGGGACTCTAATATTGGATGCTCTTTGAAATGAATAAGGGATATAATGATTTTTCATAGCCATAGGATTGCTCTCAATTTGACCTGTACTTCCTTCAGGATCCATCAAAATTAATTTTTCTTTCGGATTTTTAGTTTTGAATGAAATAATGAAAGTATTTTGTAGCCTTGGATGCAAGGATCTTCTACCATACATAAAAAATCAATAAATTTGAGGGAAAAGTTTAGTAATTGTTACCCTCCTTCAGTATGCTCCAGTCCTTGCCTTGCTTCTTTTCGTTCCCTTTTTCTAAAAAAATTTCGACAAGAAAAAAATAAAAGAAGAGTTAATTTTGTTTTATTTTTTTTATTTACTCTAAGAGAATAACAGAAAAATACTAAATATTATGCAATACATCCCTGACAATGGCACCAAAATTTGACGTGACTTAGTCATTGTATATTAAATCACGCAAATCTAAAAATTTATAAAACTAGAAAATATGATTTTTTGGATATTTAGAAGTATTTCCAAACAAATATATCAATTATAATTCAATAAAACTTCCACAAAATAGCGGTAATTTTTCAGTCGATCACAGGGATGTAATATAATATTTGGTAATTATTCAGAATTTTCCTCAAAGAATACTATTTTCTATGAATTTATACTAGTAAATGAAAAGGAAATATATTTAAAATTCATGAAAAAGGAAACTAAGGGTGCAGACGTCACGATGATGTCAGTGCTCGGCAAACACGAATCGAGCAGAAACAGAGTTCTGTCTGGCGATTCTTATGTAAGCAATTACAAATAATTTAATTGATCAAATTAAGATCTATAAAAGTCGAAAGAATCGTAATGAAATGGAGTATATCTTGGTAAATTTAAAATCAACAAATTATCACTAAAAGAAGTGAAAATTAAGTTGAAAGCAGGAAAACAGAGTTCTGGCGTCACGGCGGCGATGCGTCGGCAATGCACCGGAATCCTGAGCGTTCGGGAGGATAATCGTGTAGTGTCCACGGCCTCAAAGGTTCTCCTTGGACAAGGACGATGTGGGCAATCTCTAGATCTCCTTGCAAAGTCTAGAGATCAATGAAATGGGTCGTCGAATCATCTCGGCGGTTGTCACTCGGCGGAGCAGAAAAACGACGACTTTGCAGCTCTTCGGCTGCTATCACCCGACAGAGAGGAGCTAGATGGAGGTAGGGCGCGTGTTAGGGAGCTTCATCCTCAGGTCCACGCAGCAAGAGGAGGCTCTTCATCGCATCTGGTATGCTCTCAGGAGGTGACGACTCATCTCTCAGCAGATCGTCCTCTTCCCGACGATGGCTTGTTCGTCGATCAATCGGAGATGCTTTACTCAATGGATTTGCGATCCTTTTATCGCGAATCGTTCAGCAATTTTAGTAACAATGCTCCACGAATCGTGTTGACAAGATTTTCGCCGACGATCCAACGATTCTAGTTGCTTAATCCTTCACTGGCGATTTGCAGGAAAGTCACAATAATCAGATAAAAATATGAATTTTGGCTCTGGGAGGATTCGAACCCACGCCGGTTGCCCGCCTCTTTTAGGGAAGGTGATGCGAGTTTAGTCCCACATCGGTTGTGCGCTGAATTTTCGGGTGAATATATAGTAATCTTAGATCTCTAAGCAAGTCCCTTTCTCGCGTATGTACGACCACTCCTTGCCCCACAGCCAGCTGGCCACCGGTGACGTGGAAGGGGAGTGACGCACACGTGCCCTATCGGTCCAAACCGCTCAAGCCCTTGCTCGCGGCTCCTCCCTGACTACGCTTCTGACCCGCTTGGGGGCCCGGTTGGGCGGCAGGTCCCCCCCAATTTTGCGATATTTTTATTTTTATTTCTTTTTCTCAAAAGTAAGATTGTAAAAATCATATAAAATCACATAATTACCTAAAAATTCACGTTACTCAACTGAAAACCACTTTTCACACTTTAACACAAATATAAGTCTATTTATCATGAGTTAAGGCTAAAACTATATTATTTACTAATTATTAACTCATGATAATGAAGACTTATCACTTACCATCGTCGAGTGTCTCCCTGGGTTGTCCGGAGTTGATAGTGCATATTGGTACGTCTACCTGTACTTAGGTTAGGTGGTCAAACCTAGAGTCTAGGGTCCATACATTCTTATCGGATTGGTCCGACTGCCCCATCCCAAGTCTTGAGTTTCATTGATCGAGTACAAGGGTTCTCGCCCCGTCCTACATCAAGGTTCTTCATCACATCTAGTACGCTCTTAAGAGGTGGCGACTCATCTCCCAGTGGATCATCCTCTTCCTAACGACAACTTGTTCGTCAATTAATTGGAGATGATTTACTTGATGGATTCACGATCTTTTTATTGAGAATCATTTAGTAATTTTAGTACAATGTTATGCGAATCGCTTTGATATGATTTTTGCTGATGATTAAGTGATTTGGCAGCTTAATCCTTCATCGACGATCTACAAGAAAATCATGATTTAATCAAATAAAAAGAAATGAGTTTTGGCTTTAGAAGGATTCGAACCTGTACTGGTCACCCGCCTACATGAGAAAGAGTAAATAAGTACTCGAATACCCTTATATAGTGATGTCATCATGGTATATCGTTATTATAAATAAAGGGTAGTTTAGGTATTAAAATTATTGAAAATATTCCAAAAAGATGTGACTGCCGATTTTAGTCCCATATCGATTGTATGTAGAATGTTAAGACGAATATATAGTAATACCACATTTAGAAGTAATAAGCCCATTTCTCGTGTGTGTAGGACCACTCCTTACCCCACACACCGGCCGGCCATTAGTGATGTGGAAGGAGAGGGACACACTTGTGCCCCCATCGGTCTATAACTACTTGAGCCCTACTCGCAGCTTCCCCCTGATTGTGCTTCTGGCAGACCCTTCCTTTTTCTATTTTTTTATTTTATTTTATTTTGTTTCTTCATTTATCTCAAAAATAGAATTATAAAAATTATAAAAAAATTTATAAAATCACTTTAACCAAATGAAAACCACTTTTCACAATTTAACACAAATATAAGTATATTTATCATGAGTTAAGACTGAAATTATATTATTTATTAATTATTAACTCATGATTATTAATTCATTGTTGCTATTTATCATGAGTTCAGACTAATTGATTTAATTTTGTTGCATGCAATATGATGTAAGAAATTTGTAAATTAGATAGCTCTGACAATTTTGTTTTCTATTTTCAATTCTATTTTTAGCAACGATGAATTTGTCAAAAATAAATCAAAATTATCCTCTTTATAATTGTAATTTCGAATTTCAGCAATGTGTCTAGGGAATTGAAATGTAAGAAAAAGGTCTCTAAAAATTCAAATTGTGGGTTATTTTTCTTTGCTGTTTTTGATAGTGTGTAAATTATTTTGTTGTTGTTCTTGACAAAAAAGTAGAAAACAGATGTTGTAGTTTTTCTGAATTTTTTTTTTAAAGTTTCTTTTCTAAGTGACCAAGAAAACAAATGACAACACATGTTTCGTCCTACAGCATAAACTAAGACTTAATACTTCACCCCCCAACTTAAAAATGACATTGTCCTCAATGACACAAAAAATTTGGAACGAAATATGTAGAAAATATAATTTTCAAGTGAATCATGCATATATGTAAAGTTAAGTACTAAAAATGTTGTCATAAATAATAAAGCTCAGAAAGGCCACCTCAATCTCGTTTTAATTTTTCACTTCATCTTACACCCTCCTGTATTTTTTTCTAAAAAAATAAATATAGAAATAAATACTATAAAATTCAAAAAAAAACAAAACTTAAGAAAAACAGAATGAAATAAAAACCATGGGTTGCCTCCTATGCAATGTTGAATTTAATGTCTTCAGTTGGACAAGAAATATTATTTTTGGGAAAAAATTTCTAATTTTTATTTTATTTTGGCTGAAAGTATGTCAAGGTATATGAAGCACATGAATTTATGCTAAATTTGAAAAGAATGTCATGAAATTTACCTTGGGATACAAATATATTTTGATGGCCATAGATCATCGTATATGATCTAAGAGTTGTCAAGCTGAAGACACTAAATTCAACACTACATAGGAGGCAACCCATAGTTTTTATTTCATTCTTTTTTTTGTTTAAGTTTTGTCTTTCTTAGAATTTCGCACTATTTGTTTCTACATTTGTTTTTTTTTTTCAAAAAAAAATACAAGAGGAATGTAAGATGAAGTAAAAAATCAAAAATGACATTGAGGTGGTCTTTCCGAGCTTTATCATCTATGAAAATACTTTCAGTGCTTAACTTTACATATATGCATGCTTCACTTGAAAATTATAGTTTTTGTATATTCCGTTCTAATTCTTCTGTGTCATTGAAGACATTGTAATTTTTAAGTTGGAGGGTAAATTATTAAGTCTTAATTTATGCTGTAGGACGATCAAGAACATGTGTTTATATTTATTTTCATGCTCACCTAGAAAAAAAATTAAAAAAATCAGAAAAACTACAGCATTTGTTTTCTGGTTTTTGTCAGAAACAATAGAAAATAATTCACAAACTGACAAAAATAGCAAAGAAAAAACAACCTAAAATTTGAAATTCTAGAAACCCTTTTCTCACATTTCAATCCCCTAGACATATATTGTTGAAATTTGAAATTACAGTTATAAAGAGGATAGTTTTGATTTATTTTTGACAAATTTATTATTGCTGAAAATAGAACTAAAAATAGAAAGTAGAACTATGAGAACTATCTAATTTACAAATTTCTTATATCATATTACATGCACAAAAAATTAAATCAATTAGATTGATTGATACCAAAAGATACTAGGAAGACTATTGCTAAGTTAAAAAAATAATTTAGTAGCATGAAATGTTAGAATACTCGTTGAATACATGATAGATAACAAGGATTTGATTTTACAGATTTTCACTTCATGATCTTGATGGATAGTATTTACTTGATGTGAAAATTTGATTGATCATTTGAGTTTAATAGAGATTTTTATACCTTGATCTATAAGACTTGGAGAAATCACTTATTTCGAAAAAAAAAAAAAGAGCAATGTGAAAAATCTGAAAACAAAAAGTACACATGGAGGGTGTGAGACATCATTCTCATTATCCAAAATTGTCTATAGAAAAACACTTGCTGTAAAATAAGTAGATAATGAAAAAGTCCTAAAAATAAAAAGTACACATGAAGGGTGTGAGACATCATTCTTATTGTCAAAATTTGTCTACAAGAAAAGCTACTTATCCACTATACAAAAACAAAATAGAAGAAATATAATGTAAACTTTAAAAATCAAGTCATGGAAAAAAGAAAATGTAGGATCAATATTATTATTAGATGAGTATTGATAATTGGAACATCTTGTGAATTATATATATGAGTGAAGAAGTGATAAAGATGTGAATAAAAGAAGTTAAGTTTTGATTATTATTCCAAGGAGAGCTTAAACATTTAAGTGCTTGACATCATTCTTAAATACTTGATATAAGACTCTAAAGTATTTAGAGGTGAATCATTTCTAATTATATTTTTTATATATATACTGAAATATAATATTTTGAGATTTATAAATTTTTATTTTTAAAATTTCATTGCTGAGAGACTATCAATGATTTAAGTTGGAGGTTAGGATAAGTCTTCATTATCATGAGTTAATAATTAATAAATAATATAATTTTAGCCTTAACTCATGATAAATAAACTTGTATTTATTTAAATTGTGAAAAGTGGTTTTGAGTTGATTAATGTGAATTTTTGGCTAATTATTTTATTTTATCTGATTTTATATAATTTTATAATCTTTTATTGAGATAAATGAAGAAAAAGAAAATAAAATAAAAAGATAGAAAAAGCGGGGGACTCACCAACCAACCGGGTCCGCAAATGGGTCAGAAGTGTAGTCAGGGTGGAGCCACAACTAGGGGCTTGAGCAGCTATGGATCGAGGGGGGCACGTGTGCGTCACTCCCCTTTCACGTCACCGGTGGCCAACTGACTGTGGGGCAATGAGTGGTCGTACACACGCGAGAAAGGGACTCATTGCTTTTAAATGTGACATTAGTATATATATGTCTCAACATTCGGTGTATAACTGATGTGGGACTAAACTGGCGGTCACACTATCCTTGGAATGTTTCGATGATTATAATTCTGAAAATACCCTTATTTATAACAATGAGATACCATGACTACGTCACTTTATAAGGGTATTTGAGTACTTATTCACTCTCTCTCATATAAGCAGGTGATTGGCACGAATTTGAATCCAACTAGAGCCAAAATTTGTATTTTTATCTAATTAAATTGTGACTTTTCTGCAGATCACTAGTGAAGGATTAAGCCGCCAAAATCATTCGATCATTAACGAAAATCTCGTCATTGAGATTCGTAAAGTATTGCTACTAAACTTATTGAACG